CAATTAAGAAGCTGGTATTGCTCTCAGCTTCCCATCAAGTCAAACACATTTTCGAGAAGTTGATTGAAAATTAAAAATAAATGAATGATTATTTGGAAAACTTACTAGGACATGAATTCCACACCAGAGAGCTTAATAGAAGAATAGTTTGATTTTCAGCAACACTTCAATTTCATTAAGTCGGCTTTCACAATCTTTTTCACTTCTCTGATCTTCCAAACGTATAAAATGGGATTCAGGGATGAATTCAGATAAAATACTGAAAATGAGACACGAAAAAGGATCGCCCCAGGAATACCTGAAGGAATTATCTTGTTTATCCAAAGGATAGCTACGACAATGCAGGGGATAAATAAGAGAATTAATGTAAACTGAATCCATGCTATGCTAGAAACAGTCTTCTTAAATCTAGCCTCATTTAACTGAGCTGTTCGGTTGCTTCGCTGCTGAGCTCGTTTAAAGTGTCCATGTACCTGCCGTCGATGTCGATAGAGGAGGGAATAGATCTTGATGTAGGAAGCGATGGATGTTATGAAACACAGTCCCACAACAACAAGGAATACAAGCTTAGCAAGATCCGCAGCAACTGTAGTGCACCTCCATCCGCCCAACATACAGCTCAGTAACCAAATGCAAATCACAATTACTCGAACCCGCCTTAATGTAACAACGTTTCTGTATTCCAGCCCCAACACCAGCGCGAGTAGTCTGTCCACGCTTATTGCTGTCGATGTTAAAATGGATAGTGTAGTCAAAATAAAACCTAAAACACCGTTCACTTGTTCCCTGAAGTATGAAAGGTTAGTGCTGATGATCCCCGACGTTATTATCGCATGCACAACGAGAAGTGGCTGCAAAATTAGACCTGTGAGAAGATCGGTAACTGCCAGAGAAACAAACAAAATTTTTGTGGGAGGTGAAATTGAAGTCACCTTGTAGAGAGCAACGAGGATTAAAACATTGCCGAAGCATGCTGTAATAGAAGAAAAAGCATTTAGAGCTATACTGATGGCTGCTAATTTTAGTGGCGTTGGTGATGGAAATATTTCTGAGAACAGTGCGTTCCTATCATCTTCGCTACTCAAGTTCGACATGACAAGTTACGTCGGTTAGAGGTCTGCGAGGAAAAATGTCCCTTTACAAACGTAACGCCTTCGATGACTCTGACCAGAGCTTGATAGACTTTTATACTTATTTCTTCAATAATATATGCAGAGCACGATCACGGATTTCTATTTCCTGTTTTAATCATGTCAGACACTGTAGAAACTTTCAAAGAGAGAGGATCTTTTCAGACTTCAAACATGACTTAAATGAAGCGGATGAATCAATGTAGGATGCGGCAGAAAAAAAAAAAAGAAAATAAAAAAACCGCAGCTGGTCGTCATTTGGTTTGGCAGGAAAACCATTACCATTGTGATGCCAGTTGTCTACGATTGATTGATTTCGTTTGCTAATTTAATATCAAGAAGAAATGAGCACTTGAAGGCTGAGAAATCCCAGCTGTATGTGCTTGCCATTTCATCAATTTCGAAATACTAATATGGAAGCGATTTTTGCAGTAATGAACACTACTTAAGCAGTGGTGAAAATGAGGCCTGAATTTTTTTTATTTTTAATAGGCCTGACAGTATTTCAGGCCTTATTTTAACTACTGTAAAATAGTGTTCATCACTGCGAAGATCGCTTCCTTATTCATTTCCTTGTCTGCAGTTCACATATATGATTTTCATATATTTACAGTCATTTAATTTCGAAATACTATATTTTAAACGATAATAAATTGTTACTCTTTACAATATTTAAATTGGTCTATCGGCTTCTACTGATTGAGCAAACATGACGATAAAGAGTATCGCGGCAGTGACTGTGGAGCGTGAACTATATTTTGTCAATGCTTAGAATTTGTTTTACTTAGGCGTAAGACGAACTTAGAAGCTTTGAATCATCAAATTTTGAAACAGTTTCTTTTTATTATTAATAAAAAGCTTGAGAGCTATTAGCGAAGCGTCCATGGCTGATATTGCTTGAAATTAATTAAGTTCCCGCAAAGTACAAAATAATGAGGTTCACATTCAAATTCACGAGTCATATACCAGATTTGATTGTCAGATCCAACCAAGAGCCCGAGTATTTAATGCCGTCCGACAAAGGAACACGCTACAGTTAATAACTGGTCGCGACAACTATACAAATCACCACTCATGTTAATATATTCTTGTGCCGCCGCCTAACACAACAACCGAAACCCAGTGGGTAAAATTAGTTAACTGGAGGAAAATATTTCAATAACTGTCACTGCCACTTACAGTTTAGTTCTGCTTAGAATAATTAAACTTTCTTGTTCCACTCAATTAACGTCCTGATGCCAGGCAAGTTCATTATCCATCCATTTTGTATTCTTGCGAAAATTTATGGTAATAAGTTTAAGTCAAACCTTTTTTTTTGTTTTGTTTTGTTTTGTTTTTTCATTTGTTGTTTTTTTTTTTAGCTTGTAGAATTTCCCACCTGAAAAGCGAGACAGAAATGATCCTAGAATTCAAATGAGCTCCCTTAGCACACGAATGAATAAAAGTTGAACCATCTTTCAGATCATCTTAGTTATTATTGTCCAATTCAAAGTTTTGTTAAGGTGGAAGCGCATAACTTTTATTTCCATATCAACTTGGTCCCTTGCTTTATGAGCAAATTTTTTGAGCTTTGGAACCTCATGTCGACTAAGTTTTGCATTAATCCAATTTTGACGGAAATTTGGTAAGATAATTTAATACATAAACAAAGATACCTTTCTTAAGAGTTACAGAAGACTCCTTTAATTTGAAATGGTTCGAGTTATCGAGAGTTTCCAACTGCATTTGATAATGAAAATACGGTTCAGACCATTTTTTCTCTGTTTAGAAAATGCAAAACTTGATAAAATTGTATCGCAGGTCAGAGAATGCACTAAGGAAAATTAAACATTTTGAGAAAGGATAGGACTTCAAACCCTTAACCTAAATACGGTCGAATCTGTATAGGCGGCAGCATATCAAGTGGTCACCCTGTATTTGTTATTTGGGCAATGTAGTATTATTAACTGAGTTGAAAACATAAATTGACCACCTTAAAGAGTTTCCAAGCTGACGTTTAGAGCGTTAGCCCTTCGTCAGAGTGAATAGAGAAATTGTGAGTTGTTTTTAAATGCACAAAATGGAGCTAAGCTATTGATGGGAATATGGTGACGAGACAACAGGAATGAATTAGTTGAACGAAAAGCGCTCGTTGATACTGTGGGGATTAACTGAAAATGCCGATTTGAAAGATAACTCTTTGTTCTAGTGTTTTGTGGCTGTCCGAACCGCCCAGATGAAGAGAAACGCGACAAACTTCCATATGCTTCTTGGAATGACTGCGGAGATTAAAGTGTCCAGCGACTGCGCTTCGGATGAGTCTTGATTGTAATTTTTTCCAATTATCTTGTCTTTTCCAATTTACGTTATCAACTCAGTTAATTTATAATACTAAATTACCCTGTTATACTCTCCCATCGACGTAGCACCACAGTTTCTTTAGAAACTTACCCCTTTTCACTTTTAAGTCATTTGACGGTTAACCTGTAATTAGTGGTCACCCCACCATTTCCCTTGGGCGACCGTTTAATACAGAAGCGATTGTATGAAAAAATCGATGGCTGCTTCAAAATTTTTTTCGTCTTTTATCATTATCATCATATTATTTATATTTTTTCTAACTACACAACTATTAATTCTGACTTGAAAGTCAAAGATTTGCAATCACTTTGGTTTTTAGGTTTCCATGCAGAAATTGTGTCAGTAGATAGCTTTTGGGAAAAAAATGTAGCTATTTCGAGTTACCAGGATTAAGAGCAGAGTAGGTGAACGAAGGTAAATAAAGGGAAATTTATTTGCTTCGAATTGACGTGGGCATCAGTAAAAGAGAACACAGCCAGAATAACAGATATAACATAACGCTGCGATCTTCTATTTGAAAACGGGTTGTGAACTTTTTACAGTTTGTGCGTTCCAAAGAAACAGCTGATTTTATCATGTAAATAAGTAAAATATCAACCACAATTGACAGAAATTAACCGCAAGACATAGTGCGGTCGGCCTGTGTTCATAGAAGAGAGATTTATTTACCAAGAAGACCAGTTTAGCTTTTGGATAAAAAAAAATCGCACCTTGTCTTTTATATGCTGCACACTCAACGAAAAACGACAAAATCACAACGCCCGCTCCGAGAAAAATTTGGAAAAAAGGTGTCGATGGCTAGCTGTATGCTGTCATAGACTTTAGAATCCACTGTTAAACTAAGATTTTTGTAGTGAAAGAAACTTATTTTGAAGTAAGACCTGTTTTTTTTTCCCTGCGAAGGAAAAGATTAAAGAAAAAAAAACAATCATCCTTTTTCATCAAGAGACTTGCGAATAAAAATATCACACCTCGCCATGGTGCGTGTTGATTGTAAACGAAAATAGCTGAAAATACATGCTCTCGTAAAAACTAGGAATAATTCCCTTGCTCAGTTCATCTTGTATCTCAACATGGTTACCAGAATTCTGCGTTTTTCTGTAGGAAGAATCCTCGTGTTATTTAGAAATGTTGGTTATGGAAAATGAGCGCATCGTCCGAAAACAACCGTGCGCCAGAAACAAGGTCAGCACTCACCCTTGGAAAAATTATGTTGATGGCTGTATACGTTTAACAAAGACTTTTAGAATCCGCTATAAAACTATGATATATATATACATATATATTTTTTTTTTTGGATGAGAGAGAGACTTACTTTCAAGCAAGACCTGTCTTGTTTACCGAAAGAGACGATTAAAACTCGCATCTTCGGCATTGTGGGTAAAAATATCACACCTTCATCTCGCCGCGTCATGATTGAAAAGGCTTTTTTCTAAAAATAGAAGTAATTCTCGTGTTAGGTAGAAATGTTGGTTTTAAAAAATGAGCGCCTTTATGTTTTGGTGTATCTCCATCCGCCCAAAGTACAACTCAACAACCAAAACAAAACACAGCCGCTCGAACTCGCCTTAATGTGACAACATTTCTATATGCCAGGCGCAAAGCAAGAGTGGTTAGTCTGTCTACGCTTATTGCAGTCGATGTAAAGATGGTTGTTGGGCTGAAAATAACACCTGAACCACCGCGCACTTATTGGTTGTAGTATAAAAGGTTGCTGTTGATGGACACCAACTTTGGTATCATATGCGCTGCAAAAGAAGTTGCGTAATGAGACCTGTGAGAAGATCGGTAGACACCAGACATCGAAACAAAAGTTTCGTGTGAGGCGAAATCGAAGTCACCTTGTAAAGAGCAATAAAGATGAAGACAGTAATGGAAAGAAAAACGTTCAGAGATATGATGAAGGTTGTTACATTAGTCTATTGTAATGGAGATTTGTTTTCGTCCGTTGCGTTTTTGTTTCATCTTCAATACTCAATTTCGACATGAGAAGTGAAATCGGTTTCAAGATTGCATGGAAAAAATCTCTGTAAAATATCACGAATACTTAATTTGTGGTCAATATTTACATGAAAATTAGTACTTTTACTCTTCCTTTTTTTCTTTTTCTTTAATTGAATATACTGGCAGAGCACCATGAAATATCGAATGCTATTTTTCGTGTTTTTTGTATCTGTAGAAACTGTACGCATAGGAATAATTTTAACATTTAAAGAGAAATGACTCTTAGAGTTTAAAATGTGGCGTAAATGAGTTGGATCGATGTTTTAAAATATTTATGAGGTTTGAGGCACAAAATTAACAGAAAAACCACAGTATTTTGTCTTTTGCCGTAGTAGGACACTGTTTAAAAACCCTTTGTGGCAACGATGCAAGTGAACCCGTTTGCTTAGTGGATAAGAAAGGGGCATACAAAGACATAGGAATCCCAGCTGTGTCTTCTTAAATGTAACAGTTTTATCCATTTGGCAATATTACATTGCAAATGAAAATAAAGTTTGACCTTGTATGTTTGTTAAAGTCGTTTTATGGCTCATACCGATATAACAAACATGATAATAAAACGTTTCACCGCAGCCTTAAAGAGATTAGCCTTCTCTGTTAATTGCATTTGAAATATTTATGAGGTTCGAGGCTCAAAAAGAAAATTTAGTTTGACTGGCGACAATTTGCCCTTGCTACCATCGTGTTTTCGTGCATGCAGGTTTTGACCTCCACTGACAATTGAAAATTATAAATTAACAAAAACGTTAGACACAAACTGAAATAGATGCGGCTTTACCCATTGATTTAATTATAATACGGGGAAGTGAGAGTGAGTGAAGTGAAGTGAGTGAGTGAAGTGAGAGTGTTAATTAGGACACGGAATATGACAGGGAATCTTGAACATTTGCATACAAATAATGCCTTCTACCAAGGACTCGCAATTCACGGTCATCATACAAAATCTCAATTAAATAGTTGATGCATGAAAGCCTATCTGAAACTAAAGGAATTCGATAGATGTGCAAACTGCTCAGACAAAGCCATCCATTGGCTGAAAAAGAGGACTGAACCAAGAATATGCCTAAAAAGGCTTAGATTCCTTTTATGGAAAGTGGACCGCTCACGTCATACAGATTCGCCAAAAGTTACGGCCACCTTTGGCTTTAAAGAAGGCTAAGATCCTCAGCGCTTGGACAAGGCCATCCTTATGAAGCCCTTAATTTCACTTCGCATTTCCTCTTGTTAAAGTACTATCGTTCGATAGTGGAAGGAAACCAGAAAATATATAATCACAGTGGAGCTTTTGTATTCGTAATTGGTCAGTGATCTTTTCAAGGAAACACAAAATTGGCTGTAACCTCGGTTTGTACACATCATTCGACTGTTCTCCTCATTACCTCGGCGTTTTCGTCTTGCCATAACCTCTGCTATGAACAATACCTCCGCTTCTACCATCGGCTCAAGACAAGATCTTGATTCATCAAAGAACTCTCCCTCCAGAATGGAAGGAGTCACATTGTGTAGTGCTTTTATGCTGACATTTGTCTTAGTTGTTGCGGGGAACTTAATCACTATTATTCTTTTTGCAAAAAACAAAAACATTCGCAAGAAAAATTTATTTTTACCTATCAATATGGCGTTTGCTGACCTGTTTTTAGGAGCTGTTGGTTTACCTATATACATTTATGATGTTGGCTTCTATTTCCAGCTGTGGACCAGCCGGATTGGGAACTTAAGCAGTAACAATCGTCTCTATATTTTCTTCCTGGCCTTTGATACATTATTCTCACAGGCTTCAATCATTTCTGCAGCCTTCATATCCTGTGAGAGATTTTACGCCATGTATTGGCCGTTTAAGCATCGAACATTATCAACTCGAACATACCGTGTCCTTATTATTATCGTGTGGATAATTACCCTATTTATATCGGCGATCTGGACTGGATCAAACCTCCTTCTTTCTACCAAGCACACCATGTTTGTTTGGGGGCTATATACTTTGATTCTCGTGCTAATAATGTGTGGCTATTACATGGGTATTTGGCGAAAGTTTCAGAGTGGTAGTGTCGCCACTTCACACCAGCAAAACAGAGACTTGCAAAACAAGCGCTTGACAAAGACCTTGTTATTTGTATCTGGCCTTTCTTTGCTGGCTTGGTTGCCTTTAATCAAACTTCTTGATATTTGTCTGTCTTTTACCAATACAATTCAAATTTTATTTCATGGTAAACCTTATAAATTACTTCAACTCTTTTGTCAATCCGGTTGTTTATGCATTACGAATTGTCGAGTTTCGACAAGCTCTAACTACACGTTGTTTTCTCGGAAGAGAGCCAGCGATGAACACGTCACTTGCTGAGGTTAGAAGTGAGACGAGAGGAAAAACTGATTTCATCTATGAACTGGCGTTTGAACAAGTTGTAATGGATATCAAACTGTAAATGACGTCTGTACAGTTTTACTCCTTTTTTTTTTTTTGTACTTTTTTTTTCCTTTGAGCTGTGTGTGCTCAGGACACAAAATGAGAGCAAATAGTAACCTGGTGTCAGGAAGTTAGGATGAAAACCTAGTAGCGGTTTACTACATTTTTTGTTATTCTTCAGATAAAATTTTCGTGAATAATTTAATAACTAATGACAACCTTAATTCGGCATGTTTCACCACGGTTTTAGTTTTAAGGCTTTGAAATAAAGTACTCTTGTATGAATTTACAGTTTTATGTTTATAATTATCTCGACCAATGTTTGACTTGCTGACAATAAAAATCAACTGTTGAGTTTTATTTGTAACTCTGTGTAAATACACCTGTGTAAAGAATATTGAAAACCATTTTGTGATAGTTACTTCTAGTGGTTATTCGATACATGTTTAACTGTGTGTGTTTTTAATTTATCATCGCATTAGCATACTTTATTGTAACAATGTACATCTAGTAAAGGTTTAGTCTTCATGTTAATGTAATGGAGAGTTCATAAGTGCACGGAATATCAGAGGACATGTTTCTTGAGTTCGTGTGATGTAAGAAAAACATACGAACAAAATTAAAGGCAATTAACAACAGTCGGAGAACTGTACGTGTGCCTTTAAGCACAAAGTCCTCCATTGGATGTATTAAACACTCACGAAGCTGAAGTTGGTCTCGGCTTCAACTCGAGAAACTCATTTGCTTCTCTCGTGCTCTGCAATCTTCCTGCTTACATCCATACCTCGATATAGGCAGAGATAAATGCTTCAACCAATCGTTAACAAATCAGTGGCTTCCCAAAAAATACATTTTTTCATAAAGATTACCTAGCTTCGATTGGTATCTATGAACCTACTTTAGTAGACATCAACTGGAGGGAACCCATAGCCAGAAAACTATTTTTGCCCCTGATAAGCCGCTGGTAACTTTTCTCGAGAAAAAATTGACTTCTTAAATTCTTTAGACGAGCATAGTTTCGCGACCACTGAATTGAGTTTTACAGATGAGACGCAGTTCTATCATCTGAGATATCTGGCACATTTTTGTAACGGAATAAATAAGTTAAATTGAAATAGATGAACAGATATTTTGGAAACGTGCTCGGACAGGAATTCTCTACAAAAATGCTAAAGGAAAAGATTTAGGTTGATTTTAAACACCACATCAATACCCTGATTTCAGTTTTCAAAATTTGTTTCATTTCTTGGATCTTCAAGACCGTGACAGTATGGGGTTCAGAGACGAATTCGAATACAGGACTGAAAGTGCGACATGAAAAAGGACCACAGCAACCTTTGGGAGCATTTTCTTCTGCAAAGCATATTCGCTGCAATATAAGACATATAGCAGATAACTTATGTAAACTGAACCCATGCTACGCATGTACTTGCCGGTGATGACGGTGAAGAAGGAGATACATTTTGATGTAGCAGGCTGGATGGAGGTTGACAGGCATAGCCCTAAAAAAAAAAAAAAAAAAAAAAAAAAAAAAAATTAAACCGATCTGGGCAGCACCTGACCTCACTATAGTGTATCTCCATCCGCCCAGAATACAACTCAGCAACAAAACACAGCCGCTCGAACTCGCTTTAATGGGACATTTCTGTATACCAGGCCCAAAGCAAGAGTAATTTGTCTGTTTATGCTTATTGCGGTCGATGTAAAGATGGATGTTGTGCAGAAAATAACATATGAACCACCACCCGATTGTTAGCTGTAGTTTGAAAGGTTATTGCTGATGGACGCTAACTTTGGTATCATATGCACAGCAAAAAAGCAAAAATTGGCTCGTAATGAGGCCTGTGAGAAGGGCAATAAGGATGAAGACATTGCCAAGAAATGCGGTAATGGGGAGAAAAGTCTTCAGAGATATGATGAAGGCTGTTACATAGGTCGATTGTAAAGGAAATCTTTTTGTGGCCTTTGGGTTCATTTCATCTTCAATACTTTAGTTCGACATAAGAAGCGACGTCGATTTAAAGATGCGTGGAAAAGATCTCTCTAAAATGTCACAAATGCATAGATTATGGTCAATATTTACATAAGACGCTTTAAAGCTAAGTACTTATGCTGACTGATGAGGCCTTGTGACCAAATCAACGCTCAATTAACTTCATTCTTATTTTTTCCTTCGATTGAATGTACGGATAGTGCACTATCAAAGATCGAATGCTATTTTTTGTGTTCTTTGTGTCTGCAGAAACTTTTCGCATGGTAAAAAAAATTTTAACATTTAAGGAGAAATGATTTTAGAGTTTTAAATGTGGCCCAACTGAGTTGGATCGATGTGTTAAAATATTTATGAGGTTCGAGGCACAAAATTAACAGAAAGACCACAGTTGTTTTTGTTAGGCCGTGGTAGGAAATCATATAATTACCCTTTCAGGCAGCGATGCAAATGAATCCGTGGAGAACAAAGTGGCATACTTAGACATAGGAATCACAGCTGTGTCTGCTTAAATGTATCAGTTTCATCAATTTAGAAATATTACATTGCATATGAAAATAAAGTCTGACCCTGAATGTTTGTTGTAATCGTTTTATGACTTACACCGATTTAACAAAAATTATTATAACTGAAAATTAATTATTAATTGAAAATTTATTACTGCAATAAGCCCTAAGGTCTGAATTAATGTTCTGCTGATATTTTGAATTTTTTCTACCAAGTATTTAAGTGTACTAAGAGGCTAGCCGTTTTTTATTCTTGCAAAAATTTTCTGATTCAGATGTTCAAAATTTTTTTTAATTTTCAAATTCAAATTACCGTCGAAATGAAAACACAACCCTCAAGTTATGAATTATGCCTGAAGTTTACTTAGCTAGTTAAAGGTTATTCATTCAGCCAACCAATCATTGCATGGTTGTATCAAAATAAAAAACGAAAACTGTTTATTGCTGAAAATCATGAACTCAGACCAACCCATGAAAGAGGAGCAGTATAATATTTCGAAATCTCAGATCTCAATCAACATAAGTTTAAAGATTAGTTTTTTCAATCATGTTCTAACGTATTTTTGCAGAACTAACATGAGTTAATGATCATTCTTCACACGCGATGCAGGTTCATGAAAATACAGGGCAGGTTTTTGCAAAGGGCTTTGCTTCAGGGTACCTAATTGCGCAAGTTATAATTTGAAAACATCAAATGCAATTGGTGGAAACAGATGCGAATTGAATAATTCAACCCTCGATGGGCACACAGAGGACCTGGAGGAATGTCTGTCTGCCATGGAACTCGAGTAAGAGGAACCATTGACCTTTCCAAACAGAAATTGATATTTCATTAAATTGACATTGAGGAAAATATGTCAACACGCGAGAAAAGGAGAGTCCGCTTAGTACGTCCGACGTAATTTAGAGGTTTAAGAACAAGTGCTAATTAAACAGGAAACAAGAAAGACTACAAAAACAGACAAAAATAGCAGAGCAAAATTATTATCAAAGCTTCAATGGCCTTAATCCCTTGTTTCGTAGAAAAAGACAGGACAAGTAGTGTTTCAAATATGAATCATTGTAAAATTTATAATGAATTAAAAAACAAGATTGAACGCAATAAAGTTTTTAAGGATTCGAAGAGAGACTTTTTTTCAGGTAGTAGCAAACTATGTAAGTGAAGTGAAAAAAATGGGTAGAAGTAAGCATTTAGTGAGAAAAGAAACAAATAAAAGAAAAGAAAGCTAACACATTGGAATCATTTCTGTATCGCTGAGGGAAACCAAATATGTGACGTTGATGATCATGAGAGTGATATAATTCCAAAAACAATAACTATACGACATGAAAATATTGCATTTTGAATAAAAACCGTTTTGGGAGGCAACGTCCTGAAAAATTTTAAAGTACCAACAAAAAGAGGGGGAAAAAGGTAATTGAGTTATGAATTTTGCCCAAAGGCTGTTACAGAAGCTAATTAAATCTGATGCAGTCACCCAAACGGTTATGGCTTTATACCCAGCTGAGCCTCAACCTTACTACCCTTATGTCCTAGCCAAATGTAGATTTATTTTGCACGCATATAATTCATACGAGACTTTTCGTAATAAATAGCCAAATGCTGCGAACAGTAAATTGCCAACAAGGTCTAGATTAGCTATGCCGCTGGAAAAATAAAGGACAGGCCGATGTGAGTTGATAAGCAATTGATAAATTTGAGTTTTAGACTGTAATGTTTTTGTTTGAAAAAAATTACCTTAGTTAATTAAGTTACTGAATTCACACCGAGACGATTTGGTTCATAGGGAATTATTTGCCTCGACAGGTAACAAAGGCAGAATCCATTTATTGACGCCGACTATTAACGACGAAGTAAGGAAACATATTTCAAAAAATTGTTCACCAAACGTATCGGAAAAGTGTACAATTTGAAATGTTAAGCATAGCAACCGCAAATCTTGTCTCAAAGCATTATCAGTCGGCTAACGTGGCTAATTTTATCGTGCGTTACATTTCTCTTGTCCTCTGTGTGATACAGCGCGTAATCGTTTGTTCTTCAGGTAAGAGTGTTTCTGATAAAGTAATTTCGATTTGTGTTATTCGCTCTCCCAAATGTTAGACACTATTCCTTACATTTTCCACTAGGCAATATACAAAAGTGCGAATTTATTGTAAAGAATAGTTCAGTTACTCATTCAGATCTACCAGCCACTGTTAAACGCACCCACCAGCTGCAAAATTAACGATAACTTGAAATATAAGACAGGAAAGCCAAAGTCCAGCTAGGTAATGAATGAAAAATCTTGGATTACATAGAATGTAGAGGTTAATGCTCATGAACAATTTGTTTATAGTATTTCTCTGATTCGTACGCACATACTGCACGGACCATGTACTATCTTCCTGTGAGAGTAAGGTTTTTTCTTATTTTAATACTCGGACACATGATAGCTGATAACACAACCCAGGATTTTGCGTTTTTTTTAATTATTCCTATCATCACCATTATCTCAATAATGGTTATTATCAAAGCCATAGCAAAATTCTCGAAAGCGATTGGTTAGCACCAGCCCGATTTGGGTACTAATCAAAACAACATTCTTGAACGTGATTGGTTATCACCAGCCTGACTTGAGCACCAACATAATAGGAAAGTGTACGCGCATGCATGTGTAAGTGGACAGAACGCATCATGTGCGCGCGCTGTTGTCTCGCATTTCGCCGAGTTAACTGTTTTTTTTTTATGAAAATGTATAACCGATTTCTAGTTCCTTTCTCAAAAAAAATTTCATAGTTTCAATTAATTAATAACAGGACTTCGTGTCGTCCAATTCGATCCGTAATCACACTCGTAATTAACAAATCGCACTCCTGCTTCGCGATCGTCCAATTTTCTTAATCACTCGTATGTTTGCATACCGAGCTGGACTGCACTAGGTCTCATTACTATTATTAATAGGACAGTGAACGCATCATGCTTGTAATCGGACAGTGTAATAACACGTCATGCCTGTATAAATGGACTGTAGGCGTCATGTGCACGCGTTGCTGTCCTTTTTTTTTGATACGTTGCGTATAGCAGATGTCTGGTTTCTTTCTTGAATTTTTTCGAAGTTTTGATTTATTCGTAACAGGACTTCGTGTCGTCCAATTCTGCAAGTTATCATACTCGTGATTAAAAAATTGGACTCCCGCTTCGCCGTCGTCCGATTTTGTCTATCACTCGCATGTTTACAGACTGAACTGGACTCCACTCAGTCCTATTACCATTATTAGTCATTACTCTTTTTACTATAACTATTAATATCTTGCTATAATTATTACTATCGTCATGATTATAATCATCATTATCATTATTATGTCAATATTTTAAGTTCAGAGAGTTTTGACTTACCACAGGAAAACTGTTTTTAATTTACATTCATAACTGTATTAGAGATCCTTAAAATGTGGGTGAGGACTAGTTCACAGATTTTTATCATATAAAGTGAAAGGTGACGCCAGTTACTGGGCGTAAAAGTTTCTTTTTTCGTGGGAAATAAAATATCAAAACATCAATAGATAAATAAAGAAGCTAAAACTTTTAATGATTTTTGGCGGAGGGTGAAGAAATATGCTTTCACTGATAATAACTGTTTTTCTTGAGGAGAATGTCGTCAGTTGGAGTTCAAGGCGGAGCTAGCTTTACCAAGAAAACGTCTTACGAATCACATGATCAGAGTATATGTCGACAAGACAATAGACCATTATGAAGTACTTTGCTATTTGGAACCCAATTGTGTGAGTTATAATTTTAAGATATGGAATGAAAATGAGGGAAGCAGTTGCGAACTGAATAATTCAACTCATGAAGGACAGAAAGAGGACCTTGTTGAAAATGCTAGTTATGTCTACCATGGAGCACGGGTAAGCGAAGTTGTTTGATTTTCCAACCAGAAATGGCTTTATTAGTAGAGTAACTATTTCAAAAAAAAGAAAAAAAAACTATTCAATTCAGGGAACTCTGACTCGTCACACGTGCACAAATGATACTTTAGAAAATGATATAAGAATAAATCATTCAAAATGCCAGGCGATAATTATAATTTCGAAAAATCAATTTCGCTGCGAAAAACCCATCATTCCAGACAGCGACACGCTAGAGATGTTTGGAGCTACTGTTAACGATATCTTAAAATTCGATAAAGAAGTTTATAACACAGGAAAGTTCCTCAATAGGCCACAGTTTTAGAGTGTATGTGAAATACGCTTTCTTATGATTAAAGAAATAAATGTCATTTATTGTTCCACAGTTAAAACGCTTAAGGGTAGGGATCGGCTGAGAAATTGGAAAGAGTAAACGGAGTGTTATTTAGCGATTTTTCATATGAAGAACTTCTTAGTGATTTAGGTAGCACATCGGTAGGTTTGAACTTAGGCCCTGGTGTTACCAAGGGTCCAGGTTTTAAGTAAGCGTCATCTAGTTTTTTTAAGACCTTCATAAATGCTTTAAAAAATTGAATCAGTCCTTCAGACTGTTTAGTATCTCTGAATTGCCCTTTTCTTTCAAAGTTTTTATTTACAGATGACTCTATTTGTAATTGTAAATAGGTTTATTTCTATCGTAAATAGTTTTAATAGTATTGTAAATAGTTTTATTTCTATTGTTTCCACATTAATAATTATCGCTTAATCAAGATTTTATTTGTTATTTTGCTGTTGTTTTCTTCAAATTTCATATTCTGATTTTCTCCACCTCGCTAAATGATAGACCATTACTTGCTTGATTTTTTTATTTTTTCAATTTAGAGCGCATGTACAAGTAACCCTTGCAAGAACAACGCAACCTGTCAAACCGGTTTTACAGAAAGAGGTTACCGATGTTTGTGCGTCATTGGTTTTACTGGTCATGAGTGTGGAGTCGGTAAGTACTACCTAAAAAAAAATCATGTTAGCGAGAATGAACGTACTTAACCAACGCTTTTTAAAGGCAGTTTGGTTTTCTAAGCCAAACAAACTAAATTTATTGGCCTTAATTCTCCCCGCCAACAACACAACGATAACACTGTCTGTTTTTGGCCATGAGAGAAGTTCATTTCCTAGAATGATAAAAGTGGATTGAACAGTGTCAAAAAGGGAAGCGAATCATGGGAATCATGAATACACTAAGGTATGTCACGTGGTGTGTGACAATTAATCCCTTTGCGCAATAGCGCCCAATGAGGAAAAATTGTAATTTTCAAACATGAATAAATAGGTGAAAAGATAGACAATCGCAAGGAAAGAACCTTTAGAGGAAAAAGTAAGACAACTTTGATGTGTTTTCCAGATGTCGACGAGTGTGCTTTAGGAACAGACAAATGTAGTGTCAATGCTTTGATATTCTGGGGATGGTACCGATTGTGATGGTAAGTAGATTTTGCGACTGTATTGTGTTGTGCCAAAATCAACAGAAAGAAAACAAAAGAAAAAACTCCTTCTTCAAGATGTGAAGGATGTACTTAAGAAACAAGCGAATTTCGAATGCAAATCTCATTCTTCTGTTTAAATCTCACCTTTAACTTAATTTCGCTTTTTTTTTTTGCTTTGTCTTGTTTTTTCTAGAAATGTCCTGCCAAGACCTTTACCAGACGACCTCGTGAGTTGCACTGTTACTGTTATTTAGGACAGCATTTATTTTACATAGAAAATGAACGCACCATTAAAATAATGATAATAATACATTGAGATAAAGCTCAATTTAAGTATTCTGTTCAATTTAAAATCCTCAGAGTCAGTACAAGCCCTCACTGTAGTCTTGGAGCATGCGGACAAGGTGCTTGGATGCTTGTGATGAAGATTGACGGCAAAAAGGTAATCAAAAATAATGACGGTGATTTCCTCACAGCTCCACAGTAATGCAAATGACTTGCTGTGAGTTTGCTTCTCAGTTACAATCAATCTTTCATTGGTTGGTCCAAGTGTGATTAGTGTCTGAGGAACAATAATAATCGAATTACTTTTAAAACAGAAGGCGCCTTTTTTAACGATTTTTTAGAATGTGTTGTGTCCAATATTTTGTCCGGCTTTACGACACACATACATGCTCGCGGGTAAAACGAACGGCCACTACTTCATAACTTTTGCTATGAAAAATTATTTCACCAGATTACTTTAAAAATAGATCTCGTGTGTATTATCATTTCGATTCATATGCACACAGGAAACCTTCCGTTATGACTCTAAGTATTGGACCAATCAACTGGAATACAATCCTGTTGGAGGGCAGACTGGGTTCGACTCACAAGAAACCAAGCTAATGACCTACTGGAACACATCCTTCACAAAGATCTGCCTCGGTATGAAAGTCGACCAACAAATCAGTTTCATTGCCGTAGAACAGGAGGCAAGCTCCCTATTTTCACTGATCGCTGACGGGCAACACCGCGCCACTTCACTGGGTCGTAAAACGTGGAAGACTCTAATTGGTTCAGAGGCGTCCTTGCAGTTAGTATGCAACATGGAGGGGTTCAATGTGGTCAGTTCGGATGGTTTTAGTTCCAAGGCAAGAATCGGCATCATAAGTAATGAACAAAATGACTGTAGTACGTGCGACTCGAGAATTGGATTTGGCATATATGGATCTAGTCTCAGTTCCAACAGATGTGGAAATGTAGCTCAGCATTCACCAGATAATGGCGAAAAAAACATAGCAGTCATGGGATACATTTTTGTCCGTTAACACGTCCACTGTGGCATACAGCATGGGTCTCACACCATCAGAATGTTCTTTGGGTCACAAGCACTGACTTAGCTGTTGGTCTTCGAAGGAGAGGTCGATATCTATAAACCTATTTTAATCACTTGGCTGAATGAGACTCAAGCTTTACCGTTTATTTATTTATTATCGCTATGTTGTTCCCTTATGGAATTACTTGGATATATGGATGTTGAATAGAAGAATGAGAATTACGATAAAAAAATAAAATAAAAAAAAAACTTGATCATGACAGATAATCCGAGTTCATGTATCGTGCTTCTCCTTACAAAAGAAAACGAACCAAATAACACGAGTATGAAACGAGATAAGCTGAAACAAACCAGGATGTGAACGTAATCATACCAGGATAATACTGTGAGCCAACATTATGAATGTATCTAAAACACAAACTCGGTAGTCAATTTCAGCGAGTAATCAAAGCTAGGAAAGTAAAAGAGAGAGTTAAGAATTAGTTTCCGTTCAAAACACGACTAGCAAAAAATGTTCACTAAAGATAAAAAGATAAACCAAATAGTGTGAACTTAAGATCGTTTAGAAAATATGAAAACAAACTTATTTATCCAACAGATAATCTTCCACTCCTTAGTGTTTTACTGACAGATGGTGAGGGAGATGATTGGACGTAATATTCCGGTCTCACATCAATTCATTTTGGTGCTTGAAAGATGTTACTGCATGCCATTCTTGTTAATTTTAGTATGATCCCGGCTAGTTTCAAAACTTTCCGGAGCATTATTTCCGCGTCAAGATTATTTAGCAATGCTCAAAATTTGGCTCCCAAGATCTGATTGTTTTTTCACCCCTCCAGCTGTTACACATTTCTTGGTAGATAGTCAGGAGAATTTGGCGTTAGATCAAGATAACAAACTCTAAATGATAAGTTTGAGTATTCTCCTTACTTTTTTGCTGGATGAGGGAGAAGTTACATGTTAAACATTTCTGGGAGTTAAAGGGTTTATAGATGGAATAAAAAAAAAAAACTAAGAGATCAGTGATTAGAAGCTGGGGAGGGGGGGAGGATTTTAGGGGGGGATCAACAAATTATAAAGGGGGAACTATAGAAAAGTGAATTTTTATTAGCTACCAATGAAAAGAGAGGAAGAGGATCATAAGATTATTTCACAATTTCACAGCCTTAGAGAGATCAGGTAAATTCTATTGTCGGTTGCACATCCAACAACCCCAAGTCTCAATTAACCATTTGTCTTGATGAAAAATTGGCCAATTCTAGTTGTTTGATGGGAATATCGCATCATAACCATCCAACGTGCAATTTCCGCACAGCGTTGACATTCCTATTGGTTTCGTTTGATATTAAGGTGTTACAGCGCAGGTAGACAGTGATCGTAAATATGTCGAAAGTTATGCCTGCGAGGAGGCCTATCTTTTCTGCGCTATTGCTAATAAAATATAAACCTGAAGTTTCATTTGCGTAAATGTCGTTTTGATTTACATTGTGGAATAAGGGAGGTCATCGGTTTGAACAATGGCCTCAAGAGAATTCCATTCATTGCAATCCATTAAAAATCTCCGCTATTGCTAAAATGGAGCACATCCTCCAACAGCGATACTCTTCAGGAAGTGAATGATATTCTTTGAAAAACGAAATAAAAAAAAAAAAGATAGTGCTCGTCGAAAGCGTCCATAACTCAAAACATTTATGATATAACTGATGAACCACATGATGCTTTTGAAGTTCGTTTTTTGACATACTTAATACATCGTCAGCTGTATAACGAGAAATAAAATGAAATTATGCAATAAATAGTTTAACAAACTGAGATGTTAACAAGAATAAATTAACAACAAAAAAGAGTCAAACTATTTAAGCTAAGAAGGGAGACTAATTAGTATGAAAGGGATAAATTAAGGTGTTCGACCTGCGAATTTAAAGACGGCTGCTCCCAAAAGATGTGCATGGCTTCATGGCAATTTTCAATTGGAAGCTTGTGGAAGCAGAGTCCAGAATTTTAAAAAAGGAGCCACAATTTTCAGAACCTCTCAGGTGCTTAAAAATGTGGGAATGTTTGTCACAGGAGAGATGTTCGGGGATGCGAGTGGCGACGTGTCTGTTGGTTTCACCGACATAACAGGCACTACAGCCTGCTCATGAAAACTAATAAATAATTCGCGATCGTAAACCCGCAGGGATAGGATCCTTGACCCCAAACCAACTCTTAATGTTAAACTGGGTGTGCTAACTAATTTCTTAATTTTGGGTTGCGTTTCGACGGAAAAAAGGACCGATGTACGGTAATTTAAAACACAAACAATTTTTCCTTCGAGCAGCACTCTGAGAAGAATCGGAGGTGAAGTTATTGTTAAGAAATTTTCTAACAAAATTCTCGATGATATATAAGCAAATTCGTTTTTCAGAACTTCTAACGGTTATAAGTAGATTTCAATTATCGGGCTATTATAAATACAGGTAAGGTTTGGTTTGGTTTCCCGAAACAAATCCCATCGATAAACAAGTTAATAACTGCCTCCAATGTCCTCAAAGTTTGTCTAGAATGCGGAAAACTTGCTAATTTTTTTGTACCAACCACACCCTCCGGCAAATACTCAAATGGAGTGTCCAAACAACTAATATCCAAAGTCCAAAAGGTAAATTTCACGAGGAAACAGATCAGTTTATATTCTCTTGTATGAGAAAGCTGATCAAAAGTGAACTAAATTTTGTAGTTACAGTCATAATTCTTTTAACCCTTTTATTCCCGGGATCAGATTTTTGATTCTCACATTTCTCTGTAAATAAGTTATGAAAACTTGGTGCTAAATCAAGATAGAAGCTTCTAATTAATAAGTATGAATATTCTCATTGTTTGCTGAAAAATTTATGGATATTATAGGAAGAAGTTTCATGTTAATTACTTCTGCGAGTTAAAGGGTTAAACAAAACCTTCAATGAGTTGGCGGGTACGTAGGAGGTCAGCTATGTGCATAATGGTAGCTGCATACAGTCTCTTTTATTGGAATTATTTCCTTTTTTTTTCTTACTTTTCTCAAGCTAGTTGAGTATATGTTTCTTTGAGTGCCTGCTATTGCTGTGGTTGTTTTAAGTGTGTGTCCTTTTTAATTTCCTTTTCAACCCAAAATATTTTGTGTCGAAATCACGCCATATAACTAATACCTTACTTTTGCAAAATATGAGGATTCTGTAGCTCATATACGCCTCTTGGTTTTCCTACAGGTTTCCTCGCCACAAGTTAAATTTTCAGTCATATTAAATTGCATTACTGTTTGTGAATTCTTTTCATTTGCACTTATGTATTATAATTAAAAAATGAAAAATAAGCAAACAAACAAAATAAATAATGAAATAAAATAAATGCGATTCCTCTTCTACTTAACCTGATTCTAGAAGCCCTGGATATGTGAACTTCTTTTCTTAGTCCTTTGCTACGGTAAGATAGTTAACAGAATTGTGAACAAACAAACTATTTCCAAGTGATGCCTCTAAGTGGAATAATGCAACATTGCTCATCAGAAGTCAGTGAGTACAGTTGGCGCGTTGTTTTATGACATTGCAAGTAACGTTTTCGTAGATCTCCATGCCGCGGGAATTTTTGGAGAAAGATTTGACCTAACAGGTGTGTATCTTGGTCTCCAGCGCATCAGTTGAAAAATAAAATAGTGAGGGCGGTTGTTCTTTTTGTTACAGTTCTTTTACATTGGGAATATAATTAAAAGAGAAAAAAAAAACATACTAGCGATAATGTTAGCGCCGACAACAACTACGAAGATTGTACGTAAGACATAAAAAACGACAATAGAAAGTTGTACTTGTGACAGGAAACTTAATATCGTTCCTTCCAAATACTACTGCACAAATATGTATCCCATTGCTTTGATTTTTTTGTTCCCGTTATCTGCTAGATAATAAGCTTCGTTTCCACACGTGTTGGAGTCATCGTGTTGTCCTCCTCCGCCAAATCCAAGCCTGGAGTCGCATCCTGCACAGTTGTTAAGTTCATTTGATATCACACCTATTCTTACATGAGCATATTTGGACGTTCCGCTGTATTCTGCAGCATTGAATCCTTCTTTGTTGCACAAATTTTGCAATGATGCTTCAGGACCAACCAGCGACTTCCAAGTATCTCGACCTAAGGAGGTAGCACGGTACTTCCCGTCGGCTATCAGTGAGTAAAGTGATTCAGCTTGCTTGTTGATAAGAATGAACCTGCGCTGATCGCCAATTTTCATACCGAGGCAGATTTTATCAAAAGAGCTGTTCCAGTAGGTAGGAAGCTTGGTTTCCTGATCGTCAAATCCAGTCTTTCCAGCATGACGGTTGTAATCTATTTTGTTCTTCCAGTAGTTTGAATCGTAATGAAAAGTGGTCTGGGTCGAAATGGATGATATTTTATGTAGTTGCAAACAATTCAAGCAAGTATTCAAGAAAATTAGATTTTGATAAGCTGATTTGGGAAGGTCATTATTTATCACCTGTGTGGGCTAGGAGGAATTTTGTCTATTAATGATAAAATTAACCTGATTCCCCAATATGGCTATTTATTATATTGCTGGCAGTGCCAGTGGGCAATAGAAGTGAGTACCGTGTTCTGATTGGCTACCCGAGCGGGATTGCCCGCTCTGGAGCGGACACATAAAGTTTATGATTTTTGGACAATCTAAAAAGGTGGCAAAAAAAACTAGACGACTTCCTTGGGTTTACTACTTCCTCTCGGTCCATAAAAACGTAAAAAAGAAAAAAAAAAAGCTCAGCCAATATCCAGCCATATTGACCTCGCACTTGGTCAATAACGCATATATAATATTTTTATTATCCCTCCTCCCCTCACACTGTCAGTTAATTAGATGTCAATTCTCCAAACCCCCCCTTCTCCCTTATACTCTGTAAGGGACGACTTATCCCTTTCCGTTTCCCCAGAAAACAGTGTGATCCCCTGTCCTTTACCCATCCCAGACGATAAATACCTAAAGATCGCAGATTGACCAGAGATGAAAAATGAGGCTTATTTTTGAAATTACAAAATATATATTAAAAAGTTAAATGATTAGGAAGTAATGAATTAATCAAGCGAATATAAATTAAAGTGCAAATCAATGTTTCTCAAGAAGAAAATGTAAATCACACCTTACTGCCATCAATCTTCATAACCGGTGTCCATCCACCACCACCACATCCAGAAAGTTCTTTGTGACACTGAACCATAAAGTTTGCTGCTGGAAGTTTTATTCTCGCCACCACATCTTGTGTAAAACTATGGAATGGAAAAACAAAGGATCAAGATGAAACTGCTTAACTTTGCATTTCACGCATGCATACTGTCAAGAGAATTTATAATAAAGTTCGGATATAACGCGCGCTCTCATTGGTTGAAAGAGCGTGCTATATCAGAGTATTGGAGCTGAGCTAAAGCTGTCACGCCATCTGCCAAATTGTACTATGTCCCACGATTTCCCGGACTTGACTCTCAAGGTTTTTTACGTCACCTAAAAATTAAATTCCAGAACAAGCGAGCCGGAAAATAGCAACAGGAGAATAAAACAAAGGTTTGTAAACATGGCAAGCGCCGTAGTTTACGTTATCATAACGTGAGCAGAGACAAAAAGAGAAAACGAAATAAACAATCCGAGTTTTTCACGCTCGGTTATATTGCAAGCTTACGAACATTAATAAAATCAAACACAGCTAACACCCGTAACAGAACAAAACAGGAATGATGAAAATTATAGCCAAACAAGAATAGCTGTTAAAATTCCAGCTTAAGAAATGGGGAGAAACGCTCGACTGCGTCTCCCTACACTTCTTTTGTGCTCTTACAGCTTCCTGCGGGCTTTCCAACGGAACAGAGCACAGTCAAGGCTTATTTATTCGTTAAATAAACTACAGCTCATATCATTGAGTTTTACCTTGAATTTTTAAAATTTTGTACATGTTCATGGATAGATGGATTTAATTTATCATATTTTATTTTATTTATTTTAATTATTTTAATTTCCAATTTTTTCCAGCTAATTTTTCGCATTTGCAAAGACACGGCAGCTTTATGAAAAAATCAGACTGACTCGTTAAGGTCTTCTGATCAGACCATGTTTAATTGTTGTTTGTGTTCTTTGAGTTTGAAACTGTTTAAGCATTATTGTGGTACTCACTTGTGTAAATCGTACGCTTCTTTGCAAGAGCCGGCAACAGCTGTAAAAAAACATGTTAAAGTTCAAATGTTAGCTCAGTAAGTCGAGATGCTTTTTAATATGCGGTAATACTTGTGTTGCTGTTATTGACAGTCTTGGAATATTTAAATGACGACAATTCGATAGCTCCAGCAAGGACAAGCTACAAAGCGGCACAAATGACAATAACACAAAAGACAAAACATAATAAAAACCAGTTAAGGAAAAAAAGAAAAAAAAGAAACACACCATAATTCTCGGTAAAGAGAATTCTCCATACACACCATAATTCTCGGCTCGAGAAACTAACAATGCAAAAGGTAAATTTTATTCATGGAAAAGCACTAAAGTAATCAAGAACCATCGCACAAATGGACGACCAAGATCATTTGAATATGATTCGGTTTTGCTGAAGCCAGATCACATAAAAGAATTCCGTAATCAAAAATATGCGCTTAAGATCGTAAAATAAGATGTATCCCAGACTAATAACCCATAGAATAAAATGGTTCTTTCGATAAACATAGGTCCCACTTCTAAATTCCATGTTGAGCGAGAAGTAACAACGACAAAGCAAACAACAAAAGAAAACAAAGCTTCTTCGATATGTACCGGTTCTGCACAATTTAGAGCTGAACCCTTTCTTGCAGATGCAGTGGAACGTGTCGTCGTCATAATTTGGGACGCAGGTAGCACCATTTTTACAGGGGAAGGAGGAACAGGGTGACTGCAAAGACGAATCACAAAGACAAAGGTCGTTTATGAGTGCATTTTAAAAAAAGTAACTGACACACTCCATCAATATATGCCCAAAACTAGGATCCTAAATATCGCTTTATTTCTCCCAGTGTCCTTTTGTTTTACAAGTCACTAAATAATTTTTACAGCGTCACAATTGCTTCTTCCTCATGGCCTAAAGTGAATCATAGTTTCAATTTCTGGGTGAAGGGAGTGGGGAATATTTTTGTCCTTTGTGTTTGTATACTTTTAATATTTTCCCCCAATATTTCACAGTAACGTTTCATCTCTAGTTAAATAGAGAAGTTGTTGTCCTTAAAAACCCCTACATATCACGAGCTTATCACAAAGTCACTAACCTTCCGAAAATAATGATTGGAGGTTTGGTTAACATGGTACATGGTAAAGTTTTTGTACTTATCCGAAGACAGCAACTCACACCAAAGCTTTCCATCAGCCGCTTTAGAAGCAGCTACGTTAATAGAATGGCACTTTGAATTTTCCAGACATTTCGAGTGGCAATCGAAGTCATCATGTACGGTGATTGCCTCAACGGGAGGGATATCTAAATACTTGAAGGTGTCTTTCATGAAGCTACGTTTCCGGATATGCTTCGATGTGTAACAGATTTCATCTCCATTCAGAAGGTTTGATCCTAGAGAGGAAAAGAAATTTAGTTACCACAGAGGTCATGAGCTCATGTAAATAGCCAAACAAAAGGAATTTAACCATTTGTGATACTTTTAGCTTTGAGGTTGTTTCAGATTAGGCCATCCAAATTCTTAACTTCGTTTGATAAATGTCAACTTCGCTATTCCTCTTGATCTGGGGTAGTTTTTACAGCATATCAAAGGAAACGTTTTGCTTTGATGTTGCTGTTGTCATTTTTTCGGGGGAGGATTCTTTTTTTTTTTTAATGATGGATGGAACATATTTGAACGCTGTGCATTCAGAGGAAGCCTGCCATCGCCAGTAATCAAGTACTGTACCTGCTTTCCATTTCAGAAGGAAATGAATAAACAACAATAAAACTTAATGAAAAAAGGTAATTTACTATATTACTATACTATAGCCTTTAAAGCTCATATTTTAAAACCTTTTTAACCAGAGAACGTTTTTTTACCTTTTTTCACTATGTCATATCCTGGTTACAGTTCAATTTTTAAAAAAACTTAAAGTATAATCGCAATAGGTATGCCAAGCGAAAACGTTGCCAGAAATAATTTAGGAATAAAGGCTTGAATCATTGTTTAAAACGATATTGGCGTATTCAAAAAGCACTGTAGTCATATTCAAAATAGTATTGTTAAACACGAATTTAATTGGACTAACCTTGAGAGCAGATCGCCTGAGCCATCGTAGCTAAATAAGCGGATAAAATGCAAGCGATAAGCCTAGAAAACATGGTGAATCAGAATGAAGCTTTGAACTCAAGGTATAATGATATTGCTTTCAGCAGTCCAGAAGGCTCTAATTTGGCGGCAGTCCTGTGATACTTTTAAGAGCGTAATAGTGGCGAGTTTTGAAGGAGTCAATTAGTTGTTGTTATAGCCAATTAGCGCCCTTAATTTAGAGATCTTTGAATTGAATTAATTAGGAACCATCCAAAAAAACAAAAACAAAAAAAGAAAGGAACAAAAAAAAAAGCAGCACTTTCTGCATTATTTTTTTTGCGCTGTAGTGAAAATATCGTTCTCTTTTTTTTAAATAAGGAGTTATTATTACTCTAATCCTAATGCGTTTTCTACCAGTTGACAGTTTAGATTAAAATGTCTCAGTTGAATACATTAACCCTGCAAAAAAGCAATGTCGTTAAGCTAAGTTTGTCAAAAGTTTACGAATAATAACAAAAATACTCAAAATATACTTTTTCTTTCTTTTTCTCCTTCTTTTGTTTTTGGCAACAGCCATAAACATGGAATATATCTTTCAAATCAGCGAAAACAGTTCGACAGGCTACGTTAATTAGCGCTCTGTTTTTCCGTTGTTAACTCAGTAATTGGAGAAAGCGTCGAGTAAAACAAAAGAGTTAAAGAAATGAGCTAAGTTGTCGCTGACATTTTACTAAGTGTTCATACTAACTAAAAGAAAGTAAAAGTGATTGCGTTCATGTGTTATCAATTAAAAAATTTCCATGAACTTCAATGACATTCACTCGGGGATATTAACGATAATCTTTAACTGAGGTGTACTTCATACTTCAATTTTCTAACAGGAAATGGTGGTTTTTAGATATTCGCGTGGGGTAAAAACTTCATCGACCTTTCCCGCCCCTTTTTTCCCCTTTACAAATTTTCCTTCACATATTATTCAAGGAAACATAATGAATTATCAGGAGAATGCACCCGTCTTGTGCTCCTTGGAGAACGATGACCGTCAGAATTGAAAGAGAGGCAACACGATAGCTTCGAAGGCGATGACATACGCACAATGATATATCGACTTCACTTAAGGGGCTAGGGTACGCTGTGAGTTTGCGCTCTGAGTTCTTCTATTTTGAGACATACAGGTTTTCTCCATGGTAATTAACAAAAGCAGAGCACGTGGTTGTAAAATTTCGCAATCTCAAGATGTTTTGGTCACGTACTGTTGTGTATGTTACGAAGTGATTACAGTTCCTCATACAGGCAATGTGTACTCGGATAACTTGTTAAGAGTTCATATAAATTTCAGGGCTTTCTCTCTCGACGGAAACACAATCAACAACAGGAACATTTTGAGCAGGGAAATATGTTGCATAGAGGAGGAATTCAATAGTCTGTGCTTTGCCAGTGCACGGGGTCATCAGATCGGCAAAAAGTGAGCGAGCCTTCTTTAAATTTCCAAGAATCAGGCAGTTCTTGGCATTTTAATTGTTATTTCAGGTTCAAAAAATATATCTTTTTGGATTTCCAAAACCATGCCCACTATGTCACAAGATTGACACTCAGGTTCGTGCCCTGCCAGAGCTCAGGCAGTGGGTGAACACCCCGCGGTTGGAGGGCGGTTGAAAGTCCAAAGCAGTGGGCTTAGGAGGGGTTGCAAAAACCTGAGGGCAGGGTGGGAAGGGTAGGATTTTGAAACCCGTTGGCTAACTGGCATTTTTCTCTAAGGCTCGAAGGGGCTCATCGTGGTTTAAAGCCTGCATTGTAGGATTGGTAGTCAGGCTTTTACCCGGTAACACCTCAGCCACTGGGCTAACACTCCATGATTAGAAAAGGGTTGAGTGTCACACATGCCTTAAGGGGAGAGGGCCCAGTCGACAAAAACCTTGTGGTTAGGTTTTCGCTTTAAGGCGGCATCGCCCGCCTTCAAGCCAGGCATCGCCCGCCTTCAAGCCAGGTTGGCTGAAGAAACTGCAGGTGCTTAACGTAAAGACTAGTGCCCGCATACAGCCCAGCCACCAACCTATCGAAAGGTGGGTTGCCAGTGGCTACCTGTTTTGGACCTTGTTCATAAATTCAGAATCAAACCTTTCCTTTGTGGCATCCCTTCTAGGGCACTAGATCATTTTGACTGGGGGTGGGGGAGAGCTGGGGAAATTTTCAGGTTTGAAAGGTGTTTTCTTGGATATTAACTTTGAGCTTTGAGATTGTATTTATATTTTTTATTGGCGAGGTATGTTTTTGTAAATTCACTCAGATATGTATATATATACACAGTTTTTAACTAGATTTGAAAATGGATGTAGAAATTTCATATCAAATAGTTAACGGCGGTTTGTATCATAAAATCTGTTCATCTATTTACATTGATAATGATGGCTGCAATTTAGGTTAGTATTCTTTGGAAATACTGTTTGTCTCTTACTGAACGAAGATATATCCATATGTGTTGATGAGTTTCTCACCATTATCAGCATTTTCTGGCGCCCTGTTCCCGCATGAAATATTGTTATTTGGCTTTCCTGCAGTCCCAAATCCTATCCTTGAGTCACAAGACGCACAGTTGTCTTGATTGTTTCCAATAATACCGATCCTTGCTTGGGAATGTTTTGCCAAGGTACAAGCAGCATTGAACCCTTCTTTGTTACAGCCACTCTGTAGTGAAGCCTCAGAACCAATCAATGACCTCCACGTGTTACGACCCAGTGAGGTGGCGCGGTATCTTCCATCAGCGATCAGTGAGTAGAGAGAATCTGCTTGCTTGTTGATAACAATAAAGTTGATTTGTTGGCCGATTTTCATTCCGAGACAGATCTTAGAGAAGGACGTGTTCCAGTAGGTGGGCAACTTAGTCTCCTCATAATCAAACCCAGTCTCTCCACCATGAGAGTTGAAAGGTTCTCTATTGGTCCAGAGGTTGGAATCATAATGGAAAGTTCCCTGTTTACGAATTAAACGAAAATTGAATTAAAAACAAACCAAACACACATCCACACAAACAGATGGAAAAATATGAGGAACGTATTCTGGAAACGTTGTTACTACGGTTCATTTCATCTTTCTCGGAATTTTGTGATGGTAGGAAATTTTGATTTGTTCTGTGAAAGTACTCGAGCAAGTTATTCAAATGACTTGCCCGGTTACTTTCATTGGACAAATAATCAGGAGAGGAATGTCTTAGGCTAACTCAATTAATTATTTATCTCTATTTTACCCTGTGCAATCATTAAAGTTATAGTTCCATAATCAGTACTTTAGCTATCTACCCAGATTAGCCTCCAGCTTTCACCTATCGAGTGCAGAAGTTATTTTCGAATCCTTGTTTTTTTTGTTTTTTGTTTTTTATTTCAGTATTGAATTTGGCGGTTATGAACACATTGCGGAAGGATGGAAAAATGAGAGATAAACAGATTACGTTGCAGTAGTTTGGTTTGAATTAAATAGCAACGACGAAGCGATTCCCTGTACCTTACTCCCGTTCATTTTCACGACAAGTGTCCATCCACCACCTGCACATGCCCCAAGATCATCAGTCATGTGACAATAAACAGGAATTTTTACTGACTCAATTGTCAGTTCATAGGCTCTGTTGCCATCAAACCTAGATGAAAGAAACAGTTAACAATGCTATGAATAAACATAGGATTGTGACTCTGTGTTATTTATCATGTTTTAGAGCTATTATCCACTTAGGCCAATTGAACTGCAGGTGTTGGTACCTGGGACTTAGACCAACCCTCCCACCGCAAGGTAGGTTTTTGGTCATGTAAAAGGACATCGGGATAGTGCGGAGCTCGTGGGGAAAGTTAACAAAGTTTTTGAATTCAAAGAAGAAATCATGGCATATATAGCCTGGAAACAGGGTGACTATTTAACCAAGCAGCGTTAGGCTCACGACTGAAATAATCCCGGTGATCGTATGGAGGCTAAGCTTAAGCTCAAATCCAGTTCTGCTACTGTTCCTATAGTCCAGGTCGCTCGTAATTTTATAGCCTTGTTTCTTTTCATATATTCGTCCCTTCCTCCTCAGCCTTATCGGGGATCATCAAGGCGATATTGACCATCATACCCAACCAGACTTAAACTCTGTAAAATTATGAAAGTGATGTACTCGTACTTGCCTTTTTTTATCATACAATGCCTTGCAGGTTGTTGCAGGTTTTTCGATTTTTTCACAGTTTCCTTTTTGATCGCCATTCTGACACACGCATAAGTATTTCTTCTCAGAAAACCCGCTTAAACAAGTACCATTATTTAAACAAGGACTATCTAAGCAATGGTTCTGTTGAGGAAAGATCAGATAAAAAAAAAGGAAGAAAAAAGCTAAAGACGGTCGTTATTTCTCTTGGGAATATTTTTTGGTGTTTGGGATGAGTTATTCAGGACTTTCCTTTCAACTGATGTTGGCTCCTGAGTTAATAAATTATTTGTTGATTTAACCTCCTAAGTGGTTTGAATGGGGGATGGGCTGAAAGGGGAGGGGAAAAGGAGGGGGAAAGGTTATGTTAGATCACCGTGGAAAGATGTATGAGGCTTTCTCTTTCTTCTTGTTCATCTATTTATTGCTTAAGGGTTTGATCGAGAAGAGTGAAAGACATGCAGGGCATCTTGAGCAGGCAAAAATGTGACGATGGTCTTTTCACTCTATCATCATTTGTACACTTCTCGTGCGTTAAGTTTGATTTGATTAAAGGTGGACCATTTACAGACATGCATTATTTAGTTTGAAACCAACTTGAAAACTATCGAAGATGTGATTTGGGAGTAATAATATATTTGATGGTTATCATACGAGATAAATTTAGTTACCTCAGTACCAGTGTAGGTAAAACCTTCTCTTGGTTTTATATCGTACGGGTAACTCGTGTGGTCAGAATCACTCAGTTCACATAATACTCGACCTTTGATATGAGGTCCAACATTGATTGACAGGCATTGACTCTCCATAACGCACTGAACTCTACAAGAGTCCTGTACATTAGCTGGTAGTGTTAGATTCTTAATAACATGACTTTGAAGCGCAGACCCTTTTATTTCAGTAGTAAATTTAACGTATCGCCTACACGTATCTGTGAAAGAAAAACATAAGTCGTGACAATGATTTAGCCTGGACTGAGACCTGAGATCTCGTTATTGGCCGGAACAAGTTGTGCAACAATCTTTCATGCGCATGTTTTCACACGGGATATCTAACCTAATCATCGTTATCAACATTATTACCATCGTCACTTAGAACATGAAATTTAAAAGAGCACTTTAAGATTCTTTCGATAACGGTGAACCAGGCCCTTTAAAATTCAAATTTTTTTCCCAATTACTTCTGAACATAGTTGCGTTTAAATGTTTTCCTCCCCAGCGACCAGAGAAGATAAACAGCAATTTTGGTCCCCTTTGGTCTCACTAAGGCGACAAATACTTTGTTTATTACCTCCAAGTTTTATTCACTTTTGATATAGATTACATCGCTGACAATTAGGAGTAACTTGATCTTCAAACCATTCACATTTAGCATCGCATAATTTTGCAAACATCGACCACTGCGAAAGAAACTGCGCGTAAATATTCTTTGCAATGAATGTTCGGCCCACAATTGTGTATTTTCGCTGTCACAACACGATGAACAACTGATATATGTATGAGAATATCAGGTGACAGTTGAACTCAAATCCTTTTCAAGACTGTCTTGACGAGATCAAAAGAATACGGGTACTTACCTTTTAGCAAAAATGTTACAGTTTTATATCACAATTCACGTTAGTAGTCGCGTTTTTCCAAGCCGAAAGTAATAGTCAAACCAAGAAAAAATTACTTTTGATACTTCCTAGCTTTCAGAATCGTTTTCGATATAGCTTGGAAATGAAAAGATTTTTGAAGATCTTGACTTACGTCACGATACTCTACATTATTACAATAAATGCAAAAGGTTTAGTTGGAACTGTAAGTTAAATTTCATAATGATTTCAACTTAGGTTTGCCATTTGCAGCCAAAAATTTATCAACTAGAATTTTTCGGTTAAGTCGTTTTATCTCCCATTTTCCAGTCTCCAAATTCAGTAACTAACACTTTCAGTATGATTTACATGTTAAATTACAGCCTGGATTGCTTGCAGTAACCTAACCATGAATTTTAAAATAAGGTAAAGAAGAAATCGATCTCACCATGGCTGGTAAGGGAGAGGCAAAACATCCGACAAATCCAAGCGATGAGCGCCAACAATGTTTTCGAAGCAAGCATTATTTCAGGTCAGAACTCAAATAAATGCTTTTCACAAAATTGACTCAGTCAATGATTTTCCCTCGTCAAGCAAAACAAAAGTAATTATTTAAGAAATTCCTTTCTGAGGCTTGTTCGACCGGCTATTCGTTAATAAATTATTTAAAGGTCTCAAGAAGAATACACCAAATATCACCACTTGACGCCAAATAATGAAAGCTACAATTTGCAGTTAACTCTCGCCGGTGGACACGTGCACATTGATGTGGGGAACACCTCGTAGTTTGGACATCTGCTAACTCTTGCTCCTTCAATTAAAGTATCTAAGTAAAACGCACCCCCGCGCCTACGAATAACGTTCAACTCTTTGGGTCCCCAATTACTTCAATTTAAAAAGGGTAAAACAGGTAAACATCAGCGAAATCCCAATGTCCGAGTGAACATAGTGAATATCAAAAAATGTGGCACATGGTCGAAAAATTGAACATTCATAATTTGCCCAGAGATACAGTGATCTCAGAAACGCAAAATTTTCGTGACCGAAAAACCGCAAGAACGGAAAGAGATAATGTTTTTTTTTTTTGTGATTGAAGTAATTTAATCCCGAGATACACAGCATGGGTAAAAAGGTTAATTGAGAATTTGTTACGAACTGCGATATTAGTAATTAGAAATATTGGTGATTTTAAATAGTGTTCCGTGAGCTCCAGATTGAATGAAATGGTCCCGTTTTAGACATAAAACATACTCAATCCCTCCGAAATTACAGAAGTAGTTATTTAAGAAATTCCTCTCTGAGGCTTGTTCGACCGGCTATTCGTTAATAAATTATTTAAAGGTCTCAAGAAGAACAATCCAAATATCACCACTTGACGCCAAATGATGAACTGGATGCAACAATTTCCAGTCAACTCCCACCGGTGGACACATTGATGTGGCGAACACCTCGTAGTTTGGACATCTGAATAACGTTCAACTCTTTGGGTCCCCAATTACTTCAAATACAAAAGGGTAAAGCGGATAAACATCAGCGAGTGTCCGAGTGGACATAGTGAATATCAAAAAACGTGACACATAGTCGAAAAACTGAACATTCATAATTTGCCCAGAGATACGGTGATCTCAGAAACGCGAAATTTTCGTGACCGAAAAACCGCAAGAACGGAAAGAGATAATTTTTTTTTTTTGTAATTGAAGTAATTTTCATCCCGAGATACACCGCATGGGAAAAATGTTAATTGAGAATTTGTTATGAACTGCGATATTAGTAATTGGAAATATTGGTGATTTTAAATAGTGTTCCGTGAGCTCCAAATTGAATGAAATGGTCCCGCTTTAGACTTAAAACATATTCAACCCCTCCGATACAAATCAATCAAATTTAAACGAGCTTACTCTCTTCTGCGCCTTTCACGAGAAAAGTTCACTTGCACCTACTCGGAGCACTGAATTCCGCCACTTTACGGCTACCGACGCTCGTTTCTGTTTTCGCGAATTTTCAGGAATAAGGAAGCAATTTTGGGAAAAAAACAAAACAAAACAAAGACAAAAAACCTCACCACCTTTCTAAGTTTACTATTAGGTAGCTCTGACCGACACATGAGGATAGTCATTTTTCGGTCGATAAGCCACCACTCACTCGGTCTTAAAAGAAGTCGCTCTCAAACACTATTTCGTGGTGAACATTTATTTGTTGATGGAACGCACAAAACTGTCTCAAAACAGAAAGATATTAAATAGAGAACATACAAAAAAATATACCAAAACCTCGGTCTAAAACAAGAATTTAAAAAAAAAACCCCTAAACAAACAAAGCTCCGACCAAACGGCGAACAAATTTTCACGATAAACTTTATCTGAACTATTTACAGGCAAATCCATGGTCTACACACGCATTTTTCACTCATTTCAAATATTGTTGCATAATCATTTAATACGATCCCTCAAGTTAGCTCCGCTCGAAGAGTCAATTTACAGGATAGAGCTGTTGCTCTAATCAGCAAAACAAAAAAAAGAATTAAAATTTACTCCCGGCTTGTAAAGGTTGCTAAAAGACCCACACATTTCTAAGCTCAGATATGTTTTTTCCTTTTTGTTTTCTGGACTTGATCGTGTACAACGTTAAATAGCATTCCTATCATTTTCAAATGAATGACCATTAGAAACTTTCCCGGTTTTTTTTTTTTAAACAATCTCCTTTACTTCCTTTACGTCCGAGATTGAGTCTTCCTTAGCTTTTACTAGGAGAGTGAACACGTTGTCTTTTGTCATTAAATTCATCTTCATTCTTTCACTGTGAGTGCATAGTACATCGCGAAAAACAATTCTTGGGTAAATCGCACAATTTTCCTCCAAAATTGATGTAACAGTTCTTTGAAATCTAGGCTAGGTGAAAGATTTAATTTGTCCTTGCTCCTAACGCTTCCTCTTCTTCTTCTTTTCGGTAGACTTGGCAAGTTTCCCTTCACTTTTTCGTTTCTCAGACTTCTTTGATTCTGAAGAAAAACAAAATACGCCACAATCGTCAAGGGCACGTAGGTGCAAGAAGTAAATTGCAGTATATTTAGAGTGGACAGATGCTGGAAATAAACATTTGTACTTGATCGTTCCTCTCTTAATTTTTTCAACAGCTAGATCAAAGAAGAACTCTCCATCCACTATAAATAAAATCCACTGAAACAACGACAACAGTAATGACAATTGTGATGACGACGATGAAGATAATGACGACAAGAAAGTCCAAAACATAATTACAAACAAATAAAACACGATCGTCCTCACCTTCTTCATGTGGGGTTTCTACTTCCTTCTGTGATGTCTCCGAAGTCGCGCCTTTATCTTGGAACAAATTTCAAATTACATGTAAATACAAATACGCCCTGTTCTACACTGGAGAAAAATGACCATTGTTTTGTCTAAATTACAATCGGCTCTCTTCACCTCATTTCAAGCCAAAGATTCCTTTGCAATTCAGAGGATGTGAGCTAGGCAAAGAGGGCTACTTATCGTAGACATTAAGAACACAAAAGTTGTCACCATTTTGAAGTACACGTAAGGTCCGTTTATGGGTCAAGTCTTATAACAGCCTAGTTGCACCCCACTGCTGGACCTTATACCCAGTTTGAAGCAGGCTGAAGCAACTACAGGTAGGAATATTGCCTTCCCCCAGGACATGATGTGATTAATCTCTTGGTTAATCAAGTTTTCTTGATGTTCCTGGGTGGAAATACAGAGGCCACGGGAGAGTGAAATCTGATAGTTCCTGTATTTTAACAAACAAGATGACCCACTCAGGGTTCCAACCCAGACCTTTTGATTTGGAGATCTCCCACTTGCAAGTAGGAGTAAATAATGACTGGTACCAAACAACAAAACATACAAGTAAACCAAAAAACAAAAAGAAAATAACAAAAAAGTGGACTGAACATGATCCAAGAAAACATTAAAAGTAAGCTCTAACTTACTCAAAACTGAAAAAAAAAAATTCCAAAAGGAAGAACATTTTTTGTTTGTTTGTTTATTACTTGTTTAGTTGTTTTCTATGTCTTTGTTGTTTAATAAACAATAGATCTATTATCCCTTTCTCTAATTGGCTCTTTTCCACACCAATGTACTTCTTAACACTTTAACCCCTAAGAGTGACTGGCATCTACTTTCTCCTTGCAATATCAGCCCTGAATAAAACATTAAGGTCATGAGAATAAGGGTAATGATCAACAACTAAAGAAGCTCTTGATTGTTGAACAAATTCTCCTTTTTAGAACCCCAAGAAAAGTATAGAGAAAGTATGGAGAGTATGCATACTGATGTTAGTGTGTAAAGGGTTGAAATGTAAAAACAATGCACATAAAAAAGATAAAATACAACATAAACAAAGGAAATAATACTGGAAATATTCACAATCCCAGCTGGCATGACACACATGTAGAGCCCCAGGTTGTCAATGAACCCTCACAGAGTGTCAAGCCAATCAAAAGGCAAAAACAAATTCTGGTGTCTTAAGAACCAATCAAAGAATGTGAAAGAGAGTAAAGTTGCTTACCAGTATCTGGTTGCCATAAAGCACTCTTGACAAATCTCTTTGCAGCACCTTTGTCTATTCTTAAAGAAGCTAATAAAAGAAATACAATCATGTAAATAAATATACATCAATACATAATTAAAAGATATATTTGCCTTCAACTTGTGGTTTACAATATATTAAGGAAAGTAAAAATAGAAATTCATAACAAAATCCAATAAAGTGATTAGAGTGTTCAATTGTGAAAACTCTCTTACCATCATTAATGCAAGATGACCACTTAATACAGGTTCCACAAAATAGGGGTAACATAGAAAACCATAAATTGACCATAGATTGATTACTTTATGTACAAAAACTTGTTAAAAAAATACTATGACTACTACTTCTAAATTTAATTTCAGGAGAGAAACATTGATTAAATTGTTTTTAGTTCTATTTGAAGGGTTATTATTCAATACAGATGGAAGACAATACAAACAGGTCATTAAGACTTAGTAAAGTGGACCTGAAACTGCTTGATAGAGGTGACTGCTAAACAGACATGAGAATTACAGTGATAAAGGGGGGAAAATGTTAGGACATTAATAACCAACAGCTAAATACAGGGTGACCATTTAATACCCTGCTGCTTAATACAGGTTTAACTGTGAATAGTACTCCCTCATTTTGCAACCTGTTTACATCCCTGTCTATTGTTTCCTGCCTTCCCTAAATGTATTGTCAATTTTTTTTCTTTGTAACCCTGCAGCTGAAATTCAAATTTTTTGGACTTTCAGGAGGCCAGGGAGGGAGGAGGCTTGTAAAAATGAATAAAAAATTCTGAAATCAAATGAATTTTTCACACTCTATTTCATTCAGTGTCTAAAAGACAAGCACTTTTGCTATGGATTGACAATTAAATCAATGTTTCTATGTTTCTCTATTTATCTTTTTTTTTTGCTTTTTGGCAAGGGGCTTCACTTTCATTTTAAGAACTGAAATCTCAGATGTAGTCAAAGATCATGGGAACCTTTCTTTCCCTTTGCCTCAGTCAATTACAGCAAAGAAACAACTAATACAGAAATACGATTATGCTAGCTCTAACTGACTAAATATGCAAGCAAAGTCTGCGCAATGTCTTGAGAGTTAGCTACAACAAGAACAAGTGTATGTAAATGAAAATAAATGCAAATAGTGTTCTACAACATCTAGAGAATGTTAGTATAAACAAAACAACATGCCCGGCTCCTTTCTAAGCAAGTGAGCCATCCTATGGTCCAGAGAGGCTGCTGTACATACGTACAGCAGTGAACTGTTGACAGAGTATAAACACATAAAGGATCAGTTAACTGTTATGGGCAAACTAATTCTAAAGTGCTGTCTGTTGATGAAATGGAAAAACAAAAGCCACTAATTTGTACCTTCCTTCTTTTCAGTAGCTTCTTTTACTTTACCCATGTATTTCTTTATTCTATCCTGAAACAAACAAAGGGAAGGTAAATGTATGTACAACATCAAGTGTCACAAGACAGGCTCTCTACTGGAATCCCCTGCATAAGAGAAATAGAGAGGCAGACCAAGGAACACTTGGCGTTGTGACCTCGAGGTTGACATCAGAAAGACTGGCCACTCATATAGCTTATTAGAAAGGATTGCCCAGAACAAAGAACTCTGGCACACAGTTGTTGACAACCTATGCCCCAGGAGAAGTGATGGGCTTAGATAGATAGATAGATACAGACATGTATGCACATTTATGTGAACAGCACTTGGAGAAACAAATATTTTGTGCTACCATTTTCAGGCACGTTTTACAATGTCATACTGTGCGCAATGTACTGTAAGTAGTTGCTCTTACACCACATGTGTAAATTTACAAGGGGTCCTGAAAGAGCAGATCAGAGCATTGAAACAATAATATGTCTTACATCTACACAGTAAGTGTTTGTTATCAATAACAGTTTACAAACCAGTTCAGATTTTACAGGATGCTGGCGTGGGTTAACTCCTTGAGTTGTCAAATACACTGTTGATGCACATAAAAAAAAATCAGTTTGGACATCAACGTTTCATTCCAATTAAGTTGTAGTCTATTGTCAACTAACTTCTCTTTAAGAAAAATTAGCAACTCTAGAGGTGAGATCTCACACCACTTCCAAAAACATATCAATACAGATTCACTAAGTGTATATTAGACATTACATCCCCATGCAGGTACTGACAATAGGAACGTAATGCAGATGCAATCTACAGTAGATATTTCTCCTGATAAATCACACACATTTTGTTTTCATACAACCACTTACATGTACATGATACTTACTCCAGAACATAGAGTTTATGGCATATGCAACAACTAAATCCAGTTTTGCACTTTGTAAAGGATTCATCTGGAAGGAAAGGCAAACACATGTACTTTTACTTCACTAAGTATAAATACAGTTGATGTACTTTCAAAGTGGAAAAATGTCTCAGAATCAAGTACAATTTGTGCCTTGTGAACAAATAGTTTAGCTAAACTGGTTTACTCTTCTTCGTATTGGAAGTAATAATTTTCTAACCTTCCTAAATTTCGATCGCTGTTCCGGATTTCGGATTCCGCATTCCGGATTCCATATTTCATCATCAGGCAACCCGGCCCGTAAACACAAGATCGCATCATATCAAAATGATTCATATTAACACAACTCCTTCACAAAAAAAATTCCTTTTTCTGTTTAACATGGCTATGAAGTACGAGTAACAATCATGACTAAGAATAATTCTTCTTTATACGAAGCACATGGCATTGAAGGCAAATCTTAACTCACGGTCAAATTTCAAATAAACTGAAGATGTAACCGAACCTTTTCCTTAAGGTCATCGACTGAAGTCTCCAGAAGGGACTTAAATGTATCATCAACTTTTCCCAAAGCTTCGTGGAACGTTTCCAGCGACTCGGTGACTTCTTCGGGTAATTCAGGCTCTTCTACGCTTACAGTTTGAGCCGCCATCTTTAAAATTACCTTGACCGCGACCTGACTGGGTAAGAATACTTGATAACGAGGCTACCTACAAATTTCAACACTGGCGTTATTTTCAGCGTGCGGAAGTTTAGAGAGCGTACCCCGAAAAAAGGGTTGAATTATGTTTCCCAGAGTGGCGATTTCATTCGAAAAAGAATGGTAAAAGTGCTGTATTTCTGCAGTTTGGTTTACACCAAGACTTAACCGAGTAATTATGGGAATGTATCAAAGCTCTCTTGCAAATCTTGTCACCTGCATTGTTATGCTCGGACTGGATTCAGCCGGAAAGACCACGATATTCAGCAACCTCATGATAAAGAAGTCTGTGGAAACGATTCCTACTTATGTATTTAACGTAGACACCGTTTGACCTTGTAAAGGGGTCACTATCATATTAAGGGATGTCGGTGAAAAGGAGATCTTAAGGCTTCTCTGGCAGCATTATTTAGCGAATATCCAGGGTCTGATATTTGTTGTGGATAAAAGGAAGGAAGAATCAGTGAGGCAAGGAAAGAGCTTTTTAGCATCCTTGAAACTCCTGAGGCATGGGGATTACCCTTGATCATTATAGGTGACAGGCCAGACCTTCCTCATATGCTCGAGTCACAGGAATTGGCGCAGGAGCTGTCTCTATCAGCACAAAGCAAACTCCTGGCACGTCCAAGAGGCATCTGCCATAACTAGCAAGTGTATCAAGGAAGCTATGTGCAGACTCAGGGATATGATCGGAGAAACTCAAGAGAATTTAACTGTATCACTTATGGGTAATTAGTTTTCAAATACAATTATTGAAATCACAGCAAATGTAATTTCTATAATTCTCATGTAAGAGACAATTAGTTTTTTTCCTGCCTATGAGGTGTGCAAGTAAACTCTGATCATTTCCAAACACAATGCACTGAAATATTGGCAAACATCAAAGACTATGACAAAATAACTTTAAATTAAAAGTCTGAAGCATCACAGCATATTTTTCCAACAAGACTTAAATGAGCTGAAAAGGATGGTTGATTGGTTGGAATTCCAAACAGTCTGCTCTCATTTTTTGGGGTTAAATTTTTCTTGAAAAAAAAAAAAATTAAAAAAAAAAATAACACTAAAATACTAAGAAAGTAACCAATTTTAGATTACCTTTCAGTTTAATTATTTTCAGACTTCAGACTCTACAAAAGAGTAAATAGATGTAGAAATAAAAGGCAAATTGCAAAAAAAGACAAGCAAAGTGGAAAAAATTAATAAAAAAAAATAAATAAATAAAGTAAAAAACATAAAAACATCCTTCAACGTGAATCCTTTTCATACAGCTCACTATACACAATTTGAAAAACCATGCAATATTGAGATGGAATTCATGCCCTTTCCTCATCACAATCTTTTATACTATTATCTTTATTATTAATATTATTATCACTATTAATATTATCATCATTATTATTGCTATTATTACCAGTACTCTTACCTTCATTTTATCTAATTCATTAATTGATACTTATCGCCTTTGATGTGTTTTTAAGTAATTCTTTGAACCAGAATTGATTCAAAACATGTTTATATCTGAAAGCACATCTATTCCATTGTTACTCTCCTAAGACTCTTTGAAAAGCAAATTTGATGCATGGCACCAATGAAAAACAATTAAAGTATGCACAACTCTATTTAGTATCTTTGAATTGAAGGAATTATCTGGACCAAGAATGAAAAGGCACAAGGAAATATTTATAAGTGTAACAATACATAGATTAATTTTCTATCGAGTAAGGCAGCCATAAACAGAGTGAAATACATTGAATGATGAGTTGATTGAAATGTGCTATCGGGATTAATGTGTTTTTTTTTCGGACACATCAATCCGATCAATCTATAAAGTCGATGAAAGCAAAGATTTTGTTTTTAACCGATTTAAATTCCAAGAGGTATTCGAGGGAATGTGTCCTCTTTTTTGTTTTGTTTGCTAGACCATAAACATTTCGTTCAACAACTCTAACATTGTGAAAGATCGCGGCTAACTTGACACGACCGCTATCCATTCATTCCAAATGTCCTAGTTAAATTAATCTAAAGAATAAACAACAAAAGTTACGATCAAGCACAGCAGTCAGAGGACCCTCCGTTAAATTCTTAAAGATTAAGAAACGCATTTCGATCGCACTAAAAAAATATACCGTTACAGCTCGTAAGAAACCAAAACGATTTTCAAATCTTCTTCCACTTCACGTCATCCAATGGAGTCCCCAAAAGGAACTTGAATACTTCTTCAACTTTTTCCATAGCTTTGTGGGTCGATTCCATCGCTTTTGTGACTTTTTCGGATAGTCTAGTTCGCAAATCTCGTCGCTCTTAGCCTTGGACCGCCATAACAAATACCTCAACCGCGAGATGACTGGGTAAGAATGTTTGATAACGAGGCTCATAAGGAAGCTGTTGGCGATGGGTCTATTTTTAGCGGCTCATCTGAGCTGTCAAAATAAGCCACGTTGGCACTGACTGGGTATTCAGAAATTATGTTTCCAGCTACAACACTCCATGTACAATGAACATTAAAGAGCCGTATTTTAGTAGTGTTGTTCAGTATCGTCAAACAAAACCTGGTAAAAGACGAAACCACAACGCAGTCATGGGAATCACACTTTCTCAATTTTTCAGTCGAATGAGTGACCGTTCTTTCTCCAAAAGTGAGGCGCGCATTCTCATGGTTGGATTGGATGCAGCTGGAAAGACCACGATATTATACAAACTCAAGTTGAACGAGACGGTGTCAACGATTCCTACCATTGGATTTAACGTAGAAACTGTTTCACCCTGCAAGGGACTTACCTTCACGGTCTGGGACGTCGGTGGCCAGGAGAAGATCCGACCACTTTGGCGCCCCTATTTCCAAAACACCCAGGGGTTAATCTATGTCGTGGATAGCTCTGATCTGGAAAGAATCAACGAGGCCAGGCGAGAGCTCTTCGCAGTTCTCGACAGTCCAGAGATGGAGGGAGTACCTGTGGTCGTCATTGGTAACAAACAGGATCTTCCACGAGCGTTTAGGTCGCGCGAGTTGGCTCAGCAGTTGGCTCTGTTGCAGCACAAGGCAAACCCATGGCATGTGCAAGAAGCCTGCGCTAAAAATGGTGAGGGCATTTACGAGGCTATGCACAAATTGAGTGATATGGTCAAGGAATTTGAGAAGAACTCAAGAAAATACTAGTTGCATTGTTAGGTCATGGGTGATAGACAACATGAAGAGCCCAATAAGATTTTGTTAACTGTCACGCCTTTCTTAACTAGAGGAAAATTTTACATTTAGCACTGCAAAATTTTTGCTTTTTACACCATGATGTATCGATATTTATTTATTTGACACTAGGAAAAGAAAGAAAAAAAAATGAATGAGTGATAAAATCAAAGCAACAGACTATAAACGGATAGATCGATTTATAGGTTAGGTTAACATTGATGATATTCTTGAGCTTAGATAGATAGATAGATAGATAGATAGATAGATAGACTGTTTATTCACAAATACATCGCAGTCATTAGACTGAATTGCGTATTTCACAGAGAAATATATAAATAGGCAAATGTTAAAACTAATCTCAAACATATGTACATGATATAAAAATATAAGTATCTGATGGGATTAAAATATGTATAGTTACTAGCTAAGTACTACGCATTGTTTGATATATTATTTTAATTAAACTACATTTTGATGTTTTTTATATGCTAATTTCTAGAAAAGGAATTTATTCATACTACACTTCACTTCTGCTGATGTTCTACCATTTTGAGACTTTTGATTTTCTACCCCTAAAACATTGTGTTCTTTAGCTCTGTCTAATAAATACATTGTATTATCAATATATCGTTTTATATTATACTTATTAGACACTGAAATGTGGTGGCACAATTCTTAATTTCTCCTCATTTAAGTCGATGTTCAAAACTCACTTAAGACGCCTCCAACTTTTTAAACAGAATCAACGCAAACTCAGTTTGGGCTAACTAGAAATCGACGAACAGCCTTTGAGTCTCTGAGGATGCAACACTTTCCACCTCGTGTAGAAATACAACCGGGTGTATGAAGAAAAAAATACGCCCTGTAGTAAGGATTTATGCCCTATTAAACCGAAGCATTTTCCTCTATTCCTTGAGATGAGTTCGTGACACAGTAGACTTTGACACTCTTTGACTGTGATTTAGCGAAAATTGATCTTTTCTGCAAACGAAAAAAGTCTAAAGGCGTATCTGGAGTCGGTATGTTGCCGAAGCTTTTCTGTAGTATGACGACTTAAAAAAAAAATTAAAAATAATAATAGTAGTAATAGCAATAATATAATAAGAAAAAAAAGAAAGTAAAACTGAAAATGATAGTAAAAGCAAGAACTAGAACGTGTTAACTTTCCCTACCTTTAGTCCGTAGCCGCCTTGTTACTTCCGGCCGTTTTAACTCTATTTCGTCGACTTTCGTTGTGTCGCTACGGCTTTTTTCTTTTATTTCACACGGACAGAAATCATAATTTTCAAAACTAGAAATGAAAATAGAAGGAAACTAATCAAAATATTAATTGCTGAAGTTAATTGGCAACTATATTTGTCGAAAGTGAAGGGAGACTGCCGCTACTATAAATTTTGTTGTAAAATCAGCCTGTTCAATAGCAGTTCCTAAGCTCAGTTATGCCATGTTACATTTCCTCTGCTCATTATTTGATGTAGAATTCTACCGTTTGTTTTGTTTGTCATTTTTGTTTGAATACTTTTTTAATTCAAAAAAACAAAAACAAAAAAAGAAAAGAAAAGAAAAGAAAAGAAAGAAAGAAAGAATAAAAAGCGCTGAGCACGAACCAGTGTAGAAGACATAACATGTGGTCTTGCATGGCAGCAATTCTGCTTTCTGAGCCGAATGTACAACCGCTGTGCAATCACCGACCATGGCGGCAAAATTAAAGGGAACTGAAAAGAAGCGGAGAGAAAACACGATGGGCAGAGAGAAGCAAACATCCATAATGGCCAATGAAAGTCCCCTTAAATCCAGAACAGCTGCTTCAGTGTTAGCAGAGAACCTGCAACTGGATGTGAATGCCATCGGCAGAGTAATTAGTTTACTCGATAGTGACAACACAGTACCATTCATAGCTCGATATCGCAAAGAAGAAACAGGAGGACTGGATCCTACAATACTGAGGCAAATAAAAGCGCAGTATGAACTGTCTAAGTAAGTGAATATCTTAATTTAGCTTTTTTGTTTGCGTTTTGGCTTCACCATACGAGAGTAGTCACACAGCAGTCTTGCATAATTCCACGTGGTGCAGAACGTTTCGAAGGGCTGGGGAGTGGGAAGTGGGAGGAAAGGGGGGGAAGGGGGGGGGGTGCAAGGATTGGGTCTGGAATAAAACCCCTACCTATGAAGAGTGCAGTAGTTTTTGATCAGGGCATGGTATGCTGCAAGCTTTATTAACCCTCCATGCCTAAACATAATTATTAACATATTCTCCACAGTGTTCCCAATGCATTGCTTAGGATACTGACAAGTGTCAACAAGAATACTTTTTTTTTTAAATCAAGAACTTTTTAGTCATTGGTCATGTTCTTAATCCTCATGACCTTATTGTGAGGCATGATCCTGCTCAAAAGGCTTGACCTAAATGTAAATCTGGGATGTCAGCCCATCAATTTCTGCTTTTGGTTTAGTCATGTCAGTTGTTCAACTTCTTGCACAAGCTTTTAATTTTAACACCAGGTGACTGGATCAAATTAATTTGCAGATCCATCAGGGAGCATGCTAAGTCAGTTATGAAGAAGATCGGTAACAAACTTACACCAGACATCAAGAGGTCTCTTGACAATGCTGTTACCATGGAAGAAGTGGATGAAGTGGTAATTAAACTCGACCACATAAGTTATCAAAACTTTACAATGAGCCAGCATTTTTGTGTTGTTAGTTAACCCTTTAACTCTGGTGAGTGACCACAACAGAATTTCTCCATACTATATCTCTACAATATCATGTAGACAAGTGATGAGAATCAAGAAAAATATCAATTGTGGAATTACTAATTGATTCACTATCAAATTCTCCAAACTAACATAATTAGAATTGTTTGGCAGACAGTAAGGAGAATTACTAATGAGATCTTTGGAGTTAAAGGGTTAACTCTTAAAGATATGATTGTTTATTCTCCCCTCTAGCTCCTTATTGTTAACACATTTTCTTGTAAATTAGTCACAAGATTCTTGTGTTAAATCCCAATAGGAACCTGCTGATGAGTTTGAGTACTCTCATTACCTGTTTGTGGGATAATGTGTGATGTTATAGGGAGAATTCAAATGTAAATCATGTCTGGGAGTGCAGGGTAAAGAGAGAAGGGACAGAGACCACTTAATATTCAAAGGCATAAAAGACTTTGTGCAGACAGGCAAAAGAGAATGGGAGTGGTTACAATACAGAAATTTTGGTCCATTCTGAGGTTCGGTAACCTTTGTGATTTATTTCAGTGGATCAAAAGGTACATCCATTCAGTGTACAATCTGGAATGATTTCTTGTTATTCAGTGAGAAGCTACAATTTTGCTGCTGAAAATACTAAGATCGAATTATTAATCAAGGCTTCATATTAGACTTAACTATCCATTGTCAAATTTTAGGCTGAAAATTTTCTTATATGGGAACAGGGGTATAATGGATGACATACTATTGTTGCTAATATAAAGTAAAAAATAAGAAAGTGGTTCAGTGACCTATCATATAGTACATTGCTTGATACAGAGTGCTTCACCATAAAAGGATGTAGGATATTTTAATTTTGAACTTGTTTCTTTTAATTTTATTTATTATAATTGCTCGTGTAATTGGGGAACTGCGCAATTACTCTGTTTTTCTGCCATTTTTTACTTTAATCACTTCACCTGAGGTGATTGTAGCAGGGGCGCTAAATTTTAAAATGGATGCCACTTGTTTTGTCACTGTTTCAGAGGAAGTGATATATGCAAAATAAGAAATTTCAACTGGGAAGAGCACAAGTTTGGCAGAGTGCTGTTCAAAAGAAAGATATGAAGTTTTTTGTTGATTGAATTAAATAAATCTGCTAAGAACTGAGGATTTGTTAGGCACTGGCTCTTGCATGTCACAGTACATATATTCATTTACCAATGGGGAGGTCCATATGGGAACAAAACTGTCCTGAGGTCTTGAGTATGGTCTAAGGCTGAAGACTGAGGGCTGTATTTAAGACCAGGGGTACACTTTTCTACCATATGGACCAACCCAGATGGCAGAGTAAGTTATTATTAATTTTTTTCTGTTGATTCGCTTTTTTCTATGAGTGAAAGATAAAAAAATTCAGTAACATGGTCTGTAATGTAAAAACTGGACCTTTTACAAGTGCGCCATCCGCCAATCAGATTCAAGTACTTGATTTTTGCGGCCGGTTGAAATGCTTCAGGAAAAACAAATTAAACTTATTATTTTGTGTCTTTATTTCCTCCAATTGGCTAGTATGCACCATATAGGCAAAGTCAGAAGGGAACACATGCTGAGAGATCACGTCAGCTGGGCCTTGGTGAACCTGCTGAGCTCTTGCTGAAGAATCCTGAGGCTGTTCGGCTTGAAAAACTAGTTAAACTAGGTGTAAAAGGTACAGAGAAACCATTCCTTTATTTGCTTTGCCTACAATTTATATAGACCTAGCATGAGGAGCAGGGATGGTGCAAAGGTGAGATTGCTTGGCTTTCATTGCTGATTCTCACGCCTTGTATCCCTTGTGGGTTTTGTTTGTTTTGTTACTTTTTGTCCTTTCCCAGAGTGTCCTTCTGAGGCTACTCCAGTTCTCCTCCTTCCGCCAAAACCTACTTTCTAAATTCAAATTCAACTTCGAAACAATGGATTAGTAGAACCAACCAGTGGAATAACCACTGCTAAATTCCCATAACTATTGATGCAATTAGTTCCCTGAGTGAACATGGATGTGGTTATATGCAGCAAGTAATGATTAGAGAGAGTGATTAGGGAAAGTGTTAAGTTAGTCCTTCAGGCTCATCTTAATTTAGATCATACTAAAATTGATTCCTGGACCACCTTTTTCGTCTATGACTCTTGGTGTTCTAGTTCCATCTTATTGTCTTGTATATTGAGTTGACAACTGAAAGTGACCAATGAAGTTTTCCCTGATGGTTTTTGTTTTGTTTGCTCATTGGCAATTAAAATTGAGAATGATTATTCAGTGCCAGGTTAGTGGCTGAAACACTCAAGTCACTGGCTCACTAATTGAATGTAATGATTGGTATATGAAAACAAAATGTTTGCAGGAATCAGAACTGTGAGTGAGGTATCCCTTGGCCTTCAGTATATTTTAGCAGATGTCATTGCCAAAGACAGTGCAACTTTAAACTCCATTAACGCATTGTAAGTCTCAAATAATTCTGTTTATGATTTTTATAAGTCAAGGGAAGTACTTGACACCAAGCATATCAAGTTGTGATTAGGTATCAACTCCAATCTGTACAAATTTGCCAATGAGAGCAGAGAAAAGTATCACAGTGAACTTGTAGGGACTCAAAATAAAACTTAAAGTTTTAGTCTCAACCGATCAGATTCAAAACCAATTGCGACTTTGTCACACGCGTTTTCCCGCGATTTGAGCTGTCAGTTTAGTGTTGTTTTACTTGTCATTCGTTCGTTGTGATACTTTCCTTGCGTCTAATTGGCCGTTGTCATTCCTATGGTTTTTTTTTACAACACTCAATCGAGAAGTGCTCCATTCTTGTATCTGATCGGTCAGTAGGGTGGTGCTAGTTTTCAATCACAAAGTCAAGTACAAGGTAATCAATAAAATCCTAGATTACTATCCGTATTTAATAGGAGATTGCTATAGGAGGACTTATTACTTGTTTTAATCATGTTTGATAGGTTGGAGAATAACCCAGTTCGTGTGGAAGCATGCTTGCGTCGTTCAGGCAAAAATAGCGAAAAATACAAAAAGTTCGATGGTTTTCGTAAGGCAGCGACTTCACTTAAGGCTCATCAAGTAATATGTTTTTCTTTATCATGCCTTAATATTGACAAACAACTAACAATCTTTGCTACTTTTAAAAAAGAACTAAGTTTTCATGAATGGCGTGGTGATCTTATGAAAAAAAAACAATTGAAATGATGGATAAAGATTCTACCCTCATCTTTCCCCTCTCGTTACCTTTCTCGCAATTGCACCTACTTTTTCTTATGGAGTTTCATACTTAGCTTTTTCATGGATGGAAATCACTTTTCCTCTGGTACAATGCAGCAACTGTGGCAAAGTCAGCACGGCACAATGTGGCGTTATGTTAAGTTAAGGCCAGCTTTCTCAGGCGATGGAGTCTGCGTCGTATTCGAAGTCGTAAGAGCGCGTCCGATTCAGTGAAAACTCGAAAATCGGAGTTGTAAGCAGAGCCATAAGCTCGATGGAATCAGGGTCGAAAGAATCAGAATTGTGTAATTTGTTACCCCTTCCGTTTATGACTCCGACGCTTTTAAGGAGAACCAACCAATCACAATAACATTTTTGTGGCCTTTCGCTTTCGACTCAGTCAATACAGTTTGCACTAGAGAGTAGGCAACGGAGTCGTATGCGGCATCCAAATTTTTGGGTTTGATTTCACTCTATCGTATTACCGTGCTCTTCTGATTGACTCCGACTCCATCCTTAGCGAAAACTAGCCATTAAGTGTGTTTTATTTCTCACGTTATGTTCCGCCTCTTTCTATAGGTGCTCGCTTTAAATAGAGGAGAACAGAACAAGATTCTCAACGTTAAACGTGAGATTCCCAAAAATGTCGAGTCAGAATTTCGTACTGCTCTTCTGGAAAAGTGGGTGCCCTCCAATGCATCTGGTGCAGTATATCAATTTTTGTAAAATGGCTTAAAAAAAATCTTAAAATTAGATATGTAGAGAATAATACATAGGCACACGTAGATATGCAATTTCTCTTCGAGTCTTCAACTCGATGGCTCACTCGAACTCGAGAAGAAAAACTACATGTCTATAAGCAAACATATATTTTTGTTTGGCTATTCTATAAACACAACAGCCCTTTACTGACAAGAAAAGTCGAATGAATGTAAAAAAGGATCCACGATCTCCTGATTCAAGTGGCGCTTAGGCTCAAGATGAAAAAAATGCGTTTAATTTTTACAAAAACAAACAATGGGCATAACTTTCAATTGACAAAATTCTCAGTTGTTGACTTTTTTCTTACCGATAGATCTAATCTTTTCAGGTAAACGGCAAAATCGGCCTGTAGCAAATCTTTCAGCTATCGATTTTCCTTCTCAGCCGCGAGAAATGCGATTACCAAAGCCACTGAGTGCGCAACTTTCGGTTTTTTTCTCTTCCTTATTTTGTTTTCCTGGGAATTTTAAATGTCATGTCTGTAAGTCATACGAATTTTCAATGAGTTAGCAGCCATAATCTAAGAAAATTCGACAAACAACCTTGGATTAACTATGATGAGGGCTTCGCCGTTAATTCATCAACATGACAGAGTGGCGCGAAAGGCGAGTGACGTGTCAGCAGCTGATTGATGATATCAATCATGTGAAAAGTTATATATTTTTGGAGTGTGTTCTGACGGCTTTTCTCAGGGGTGGAAATCCTTGTATAACTCTACAGTTTATATGATAAAATATCTTTATCATCATCATCATCATCATTATTATTATTATTATTATTATTACTTTTTCTTTTCGTTAGACAAAACTTAATTTAATCTCAGGTGAGTGGAACTTTACAAGACATTTCTTCTAAAACTTTTCAACACCTTACCCAACAGTATTAGAGTAATGGTAGATTATAGTCTACTTCACCCAGGAGTGAAAGAAGCTTTACAGGGACTCTATATAATGTTTGAAAGATGTTTTAAAGACGTCAAAATGCGTCATAGACACTATATTTTATTTGTTTCATTTCATTTTTGAACTGTCATTTTAAAGTTGTTTAATTTCGAATCATTAGTAAGGTTCTGGATATTTTCAATAGTTGCGCTTCATAGAATCTCAAGAATAAACATTAAAATTGTTATTTCATTTTATAATGTACTGTTTTAATGATTTATTAGCACAGATAAAGAAATTATCCAAAAGTGCGGTGTTTGATGCTTACAAAAGACTCATCCAACCAAAGATCATCAGGCAAACCAGGTGATGCTACACAGTATACTGCTACACAGTATACTGCTACACAGTATACTGCTACACAGTATACTGCTACACAGTATACTGCTACACAGTATACTGCTACACAGTATACTGCTACACAGTATACTGCTACACAGTATACTGCTACACAGTATACTGCTACACAGTATACTGCTACACAGCATACTGCTACACAGTTTACTTCCTGTTTGAGTTTTGTATGATAATCAAGATTCCTAGAACTAGTGATAGCTTTTAGTGCGAAACAAGTATGATGAGTGTCGAATTTAATTCATGATAACGTTGGCGTTGTTTGCTTCCTTTACTAATTGGTTCAGAAACTGTTAACAACACTCTCAACCAATCAGGTGCATTATAAAATTACATGAAAAGTAATTGTGGTTAGGTCACGTGTTCCACGTTTGAGGAAGTTCGTTTCTTTACAATGTGAATTATCATAAGCCTAATGAGGTATTTTCCTCCCCAAAGATTTGGAATATGATGATTTGAATTTGAATTTAAATTTGACTGTTTTTTTTTTTCATTATTTCCTTGGAAGAGTGTCATTAACGAAACAGGCTGAAAAGGAGAGTGTCGATATATTTGTGATGAACTTGTATCGTCTCCTCCTTACCCCACCATTGAGAGGAAAGAATGTTATAAGTCTAGACCCAGGCTTCTCCCATGGATGCAAGTTAGCGGTTCTTGCTTCTACAGGTGAATAACAGACAAACGTAAAGACAAACTAGCAAATAAACAGACAATCAAGCTAACAAAACAACAAGATGACAAAAAATACACAAACCTCGACAAATAGTAGTTATGAAGCACGAAGAAAATATTAAGTCTTTATCAATATCGTGTACAATTTCTCTTTTTAGTATAATGCACAATTTGAATCGATCTCCATGGAGTCCTAATCCTCTCAAAATCAATATGTTAATCAACAGGGAAGTGATGCAAAAAAAAAAAATAAAATAAAAATAATAAGTCTTAGCTGGGTGGTCTTATATAGAATGACCACCAAATTCCCTCCAATGCGCTGTGTATTGTTTAGCGTCCGGACAGAAGAATCTCACGAAGATAAGGCAGAGTACACTTGTTCTTTTGGTCCTAATACAGAAAAAAATGTCTTTTCTTTTGTTCAACAAGTTGATTTGTGACGCAAATTAAATGCCTTTTTTTAATTTCTCACTGCAGGCGAGGTTTTAGGGACAGGTGTGATCTTTCTTTTTGGGGAGAACAAAAACCAAGCGCAAGCAAAGGAAACTGTGATAGACCTTGTTCTAAAGCACAGGTTAGTTTTGTTTTTTGTCTGTAGTTTCTATTACAATTTCATTTTACCTCAGGTCTCTAACTTCTATAAGTGACCAACACAGAATCTCCTCTTACAATATCAAGCAAGTAAGTGATGAGATTATTAATTAAGGAATTACCAGTTGATCTAATACCTAGTTTTCTGAAGTTGTATTTTATCTTTAGATTTTTATGGTAAACAATAAGGGAAATTACTGGGGAGATCTGAGAGTGAAAGGGTTAAGTGAATGGGAGGAAAAGCATACCTCACTGGTTTGTGTGGGTTTATTTCTCGTATCTTTGCTTGGGACTTATTTTAGTTAGCATCACGTGACCAATGAGAATAATTTTGGAGAAACGTGGCCGAATGGATATTTTTAAGCCTACTTGCAGTCACTCTTACGAACATGTTTTTATTTTCAGTTGTGACTATATAGCCATTGGGAATGGCGTTGGATGCCGGGAAACTGAAAAGTTTATTAGTAAACTCATCGAAAAAGGAGCATTTGCACCTCGTGACGTTGCTTACTGGTAATTACCACGAATAAATATCACCCACCTTGAGAGATAAAAAAAACAAATGAACCGACATCCCCTGCAGGATGACCAAGTAAATGTAGATAAAAATGCTTCAAAATCGGAACGTTTTTGCGAGAGCTCTTCTTTAACGGAGTTATGCAGCGTTCTATTGTAATGTTAACCCTTTAACTCCCATGAGTGACCAAGACAGAATTTCTCCTTACAACATCAGTACAATATCAACCAGATTAGTGATGAGAATAAAGAATAATATCAATACAATATCAACCAGATAAGTGATGAGAATAAAGAATAATATCAATTTGGGGATAATTAGTTCATCCAATACTAAATTGTCTGGACTAAGATTATTAAAATTTTATGGTTGACATTAAGGAGAGTTACAAATTTGATTTGGGAGCTAAAGGGTTAAGTAGGTTTTTAGTTGATACAATGACTGTTACAAACTGCATGTACGATTTTACGTACTAAATGATAATATGTTTCAGTATCGTCAGCGAAGATGGAGCCTCTATTTACAGTGCGTCTCCCGAGGCAGAGGCCGAGCTGCCAAGCCTCGATATAACCCTGAGGGGTGCTGGTAAGTATCTCTCCTTCTCAATTTCTCAAACCTTTACCCAGAACTATCTTTGGCTTTGGAAACTAAACAAGGTTTATCGAGAAAAGTCCATGTCAATTTTAATATTTAGAATTATAAAACTTGTAGATAATTAAGGGATACTTTAGTTGGTCTCATCTGGCCAGCTAATCATGTCACGCCAAAAGCACCATCCATTTGCTTGATATATGCAGGCGTGTGGATATGATGATCGTGTTGTAATCCTTTTTCATTATAATTATCCATGTTGATATTTTAGTTTCAATTGGGCGGAGACTGCAAGATCCTCTCGCAGAATTGATAAAGATTGAGCCCAAGCATCTGGGTATTGGAATGTATCAGGTACGAGAAAAACGTCCAAGGTACGATGAAATCCCGTTTACTTAAATCCAATTTAGATTCGGCCTCATTCTGTCGACGTTGTTGTTGTTATTGTGGTTTTTTTTTTGGTGTTTCGGCTGCTGTTTATCTTCTGATGTTGGTTTGCTGCAGCATGACATCCCCGAGAAGTTGTTACGAGAGGCCTTGGACGGAGTGATAGAGGACTGTGTCAGCTTTGTAGGAGTTGACTTGAACGTGGCAGGAGTCTCCATGTTAAGGTATTTTGTTTGGTGTGCTAAAAAAATTTTAGCCATAAATGAAAGATAACGACTCTTTTTCCTCTTAAGGCGCATAGCTGGTTTAAATGAAAAGAAAGCGAAGGCTATTTTGGCATGGCGCGAGGAGAATGGTGCCTTCGTAAACCGTGAGCAGTTGAAGGAAGTGAAAGGAATTGGATCCAAAACGTACGAGCAATGTGTAGGCTTTGTCAGGATAATGAATACTCCACCACCCCAGCGCAACTCTACGAAAACATCCGCCATTGGTCAAGAAACGGTTATTATAAGTCCTGACGGAGGAGAGAAGACGATGACCGGTGGTAAGAAGAGGAAGCGTGAAAGCAGCGAAGAACAAGGATTGAGGAAGAAACGGATGAAAACTGTTGTGAGTCAAAACTTTCATCCCGAGCCGTTGGATATGACCTGGATTCACCCTGAATCTTATCCAGTGGCGAGAAGGTAAATTGCACGTGACAAAATTGCATAAAGACGTATCAAATTAGCTTTAGAACAGGCATAATTAGTTTAAGCGCTGCGAGTCAGGGTAGATTAAAAGAATGCAACTACGGATCGTTATCCGTCGAAATCGCTCAAATTTGCAGAATTATTTCTCACTGCTGAGAAAAAAAGGGAAAAAAAAGAGCCGTTATGTTCCTCATCCTATGGTGATGTTGTGAAAGTCCAATCTTCAAGTGCTTCTTAGTATACACATGCTACACATTTTAAGTACACAGGCTTTGCGTGACGTAGGAAGCAGAAACAAAATCAGTTATCTGTTACAGCTTACTTTCGGTAAGAAGAAGATGGTCAGCTATTGGCGTGCGTTGCTATAGCAGATTATTGATGATGAAACTTGTTTGGTTGTTTCGCTATTTAGCGTTATGAAGATGTTGGGTATTCTACCAGAGCAGATTGGTAAACCGGAAGTTAAAACAGCGATTGACAAATTTCTCCAAACTCACAGTAAGTTAGGACCTCCAAGATCTCCCTTCCGTGATTGATGATATGAGTAATAATTCCCTTAATGTGTTCTTACACTGTTGGGTTAGAGAATTGTTTGTGTAACATACAGGCAAGAAAGTAAAAGTCCCGGTATTTAAAAAAAAAAATACGTTCAGGGAAAAATTCCCCGGTAGAGGCAGTGTCCAGAGTGAAAAATTCCTCCATTTTGGAATTCCCCCTTGTTTTTATTTTTCAAGATGAGTGTTTGTTGCTTTGGTTATCTTAATCAATTCTGTCATTGGTGGATTTAGCTGAGTGGACTTATTGTGATTGTCTGCTTTAACTGTCCATTACAGATGTCTGATTACAGCCCACTGTCCGACTCGGTGTCCGATTACAACTCTATAGAATAATTAGTGGAAAATAAAGCAGCTGATGCATCATCACATTTGAGGAAGTTTTAACGGTTATGATATATTCAGAAATTGGACCTCTGGGGTTTTAAATCTTTGTAATAAGTCTGAGTATTTTTTGCTACTGATTTTGTTTTGTTACGTAGAAATTGATAAATTGGCGGCCAAGAACAACGTGGGTATTGCAACATTGCAGCATATTTTGGATGGTCTCAGACAGCCAACAGATCACGACATAAGAGTCAGTAAGTAAAACGACAACCCCCTCTCCAACAACCTTCCTTAACGACAAATTCGAATGAAACAATACTCCTTTCACAGCAGAAGGATGAAAATATAATTGAAAGGTAACACAAATCTTTGATGGTACAAAGTAATCTGATTGGCCACTTACAAGGGTGCTAGTGTAATAAGAGCAAACAGGCATATTCACAAATGAGCAAAGAAGAAAAGAAATAGCATCCTCTCACTCTCTAAGAATAGAAATATGTAAAGAGCGGAGAGTGAAATGAGTTAATCATCTCAGATAGTTTTCTTTTTAACCATGAAACTTCCGTGAGTGACCAAGAAAAAATTCTACTGGCAATTTCTCCTTACAATATCAAGCATCAAGTGGCGATATGATACAGTATCAAGCATCAAGTGATGATATATATTTATGAAGGGTGTGTAAGCACTTAGCTACCCCGAATGATCCCACAACTGTGGTATCATCCATGCCATGCTATGTATGTGTGCTCTGTTTTGTTGTTGAGCACGCACGAAGTGGAGAAACGGAGAAACTCGAGACGTAGTCGAGTGTTTCTCCCCCCTTCTTGAGTGATCTAGCCGCTTCCTAAGTACTTTTCAACAGAACAGAGCACAGTCAAGGCTTCTCTATTTGTTTTATAATAAAGAATCTGTTAAATTTCTTACCTATTACTTTCAATTTTCGAAACAAACTTTATTTCCAAAGCGAACAACAGTGTCGTCAGCATTCTCTATACTCTCATAAAGCACGCTACAATAAGCCAATCAGAAACCATGATAGACTGGCTCAAATAATCTGATTGGCTGTACAAGATTAAGGCTGTCAAAAATGTCAAACCATCGAAGTTCAAGAACCATCAAAGTTCACATTTTGCAATAGTTTACAAAGTTAAATAGTTCGGCAGGTGGAAGCTAACACTTTTGCCTGAAGTCTTTTAGTCTCGAATACAGAATCTGAAAATGAAATATTCAGTGAAATCCAGCCGAATGGTGGCTCATAAAAACACGCAAGTTTTTTCAATTGAAAATTAGAAAACACATTGTTCAAGCGTGTGTTCTATGAATGAACGACAGCCGAATTTAACGGAACATGAAAATTGCTCAGGATAACAGCGCAGTGACTGATGCGGCCTTCTACTCATCGCATCGGAAAGGATATCAAAGCAAGCTCTTGGTTTTTCTCTCGAAGGGCGGCTAAGGCTTACTTGATGACCGAAGATCGCCATGATGAGCTAGCCGCGTTGTATCTCGGCATGACAACGTCATGATTAGTATGAGTTTTAACAGCTGTACCAGTTTGGCTATATTTTGCATCATTCCTGTTTTGCTCTGTTTTGTTTTTGAATACGCAACTTTATATACTACACGAGTGTTAGCTGTGTTTGATTTTTATTACCGTACGTAAACTTGCAGTCTAACTCAGTGTGAAAACCTTCATAACTCGGACTGTCCATTTATTTTACTCTTTGAGGATTTTTGTCTCTACTCACGTTATAATAACTTCAATTGCGAGCACGCTCTTTCAACCATTGACAGCGTGCGTTATATCAGAACTTTATTATAATATAATTTAGGGGATTATTAGTTGATTCAATACCGAACACTCCGAAGTAATATCATACAAATTGCATTGGAAATTGTGGAGATAATTATTAGTGAGATCTTGGTAGTGAAAGGGTTAGAGAAAGGCAGGGACCTCATATATGTAAAAACAAAATAGGATTTTTATATGAAAATATCGGTAAAAATACCTTGCAGACTTTAAAATAACTCTGTATCTGTAGAGGTTGAGGCACAGTGATAATTTGAACCTGAGGTTTGTTTTGAGGAACGATTAACTATAGACTTAATGCTCAAAAATAGTTTCCCTTTGCCTCTTCTCTGATTAGATTTCCAGAAACCTTTGTTCAAAAAGAACATCACCTCACTGAAAGACATTCAGCCGGGTTCTCAGCTTCGCGGCCGCGTCACGAATATGATTTCATTCGGTGCATTCGTAGACTGCGGTGTTGGCCAGGATGGCTTGCTACACAAGAACGACATGGGACAGTATGAAGGAAAAGTTGGCCTTGGAGATATAGTTGAAGTCACTGTTGAAAGTGTCGATAAAATAAAACAAGAAATTCGTCTGGTTCTTAAGGAAATTTCCTCGAGTTTCAATCCAGAGTTGCTCGTTTCAATAGGAAATTTATCTTAGGGTTACATGCTTTGCGGATTTTCTTTAAAACATTTTTAGTGACAAACATATTAACATGTTTTGTTTATGCTTCTTTGTAAGTGCGGTGCTTTCAATGTACAATCACTATCGGTCTTACATTTACCCTAGATGAACTTGAACTCCCAGTCAATCTTTAGCGACCCCTTGGTCTCTAGTAGTCTTATGAGAAATCTTCAACCTTGCGAGTCACTTTGAGCGAATCTGCACCTTTCTGGATTGGAGCCGTCACTAACTTTGTTCATTAAAGAAATGGTTAGCTTTATACTTGTGATAAGAATTGTTAAAAAAAAGAAAAGAAAAGAAAAGAAAACGAGAAAGATGAAATCCCACTCGAATCGAATCGGATGCACAATGAATTGTTTATCTGTTTTGTTAAAAGGGAAAATCCTACATAATGATGCTGGAGGCATTAAAAAATAGTAATTAAACTATATTTTCTCTATAACTTGTCTCTAATAATTGTCTTCCACCTTACGCTATCAAAAACATTAGCATTAACATTATTTGGGACATTAATAATGGCAATATACTTCAGCCACGTGTATCTTAAATGATTTTCCCAGGAATCAAGTTAAGACACTACTTATTCGTTTTGCACAAAGGAAAAAGGAGAGAAAATGTCAGAATCCCCACAGGCATTTGGAGACTATTTTTATCATAAGTCCCTATTCCTTTAAAAAAAGTCAACCTTTCAATGCTAAGCTGGCTAACAGAGGAGGCCAAAACTTTTCATTAAATGTTCGTTTTACGTTGCTGTCAATCATGCTTTGAGTTTGTCGAGGCCAAAATGCCCCTCGCTGGATGTGCCCCCAAAAAATCGTGTAACATGTTCGCCTGCACTTCACCAGATTTTTAGCATACCCTAACACTGGATTAAATCGTACAACATACAATGAAACCACTGATGAACTTAACTTTTTTTTTCTTTCATGGCCTTCCATTCAAATCCTTACTAAATGAAGAAATGAAACTGTTCATTCCAATTAGCTCCCTAATTGAGCGTAGTAGGAGATAAAGGCTTGGAATTTCTTTTATATGTAATGTAGAGAAGTTTACGAGTTTGCGAAGCAAAGAACAAATGATATTTTACCTAAAGTTTTTCTGTTGAGCTGTCATAAAAAAAACAGGGCAAACACAAACAACAACAACAACAAATAGAAACATTCGGAAATTACGTGGATCCGAAACCAGATAAGTGTCACTACCCTTCTGAGGAGACGGTACTGTGCATCACAGAACAAAGGAATGGCAAAATAAAACAAATGCGAAGACAAAACTGATACAAAGTCATTCGCAGATGAAGTTCATTTACAATCTTAAACGTGTTCTACGTCAACATTACTGCGTAGTACGAACTGTCCATGGGGAGCCTTTGATTCCTCTCAGCACTTACACTTCCCATTACATTAATATTCATGTATCATCATTAATAAGAACAAAGCTCTATGTAGGGATATTTAAAGTAAAGTTTCAACCTTTCTTCATTCTACAGATCAGCTCCGAGAGGGACACGACATGCCATGAGATCTTAAAGCTATGCGACAGAACTTAGCACTCGAGACATTATTTCCATGGATACGTTTTCCGCCTGTTGCTTGGATTTTTTTGTGTAAAATTTGTAGTATTCGTTGTATTTTGCTACGGCTAATTTTGCTTAGGGTTTGGCCGACATACGGCTATGGGTTAAACCCCAATGAGTCCTTCTTATTGCGAAGTACCTGAACGAATTACTTATGATTATCCCTCCCAGAATAACATGAACAATACTTATACCACTGCCTACTACTGAAAGCTTAATTCGCTTCATAAGTTTCTTTCCAACTTGAAACCATGGTGACTGACTGACTTAAAAAAAAAAGAAGAAGAAGAAGAAGAAGAAGAAGAAGAAAAAGAAGAAACGAAAAGCCAAAACAAACAAACTAAAAACATCGAGAAAAGTAATGATGCCCCTATGTACCCTATAAGCTACTTTGCGTGGATTGAGATGAAAAATAATATCGAAAGAATGTCTTAGAATTTTTTTGCATCTTCTCAGAGTGCTACACAGCAAAAGCCACAAAAAGAATTTTTTTCGTTCCCCAAGTTGTTTGATTCTTACAGACTAGTTCTTAATTAGCAAAACTATGTCTTATGCAAGGAAGGACATATTTGCCCATTTCCAGAATATCTGGGTTTATATGTAAGGTTGTGTGATCTCTTTGTGTTGTTGCATACCGCATCAGCACTTCAGTTATGTGTTCCTATTTCACACTCGTCGAAGGTTAATTAGGCAAACTCAAAACTGATCCTTTTTGCGCTTGCTAGCATTCGCTTTTGAATTATTGACTTAATAGTAGAGAACACAACAGCCCCTGTAGCTCTAAATTTACCATGCAATATTACATTGCACCACATGTGCAGGTCCATCCTTCCCCAGAATATTCAGGTTTACATTCCTAGATGCGCAAACCCTTATTACCCTGCATTGTTATGATGTCAGCAGCTTTTGTTTTCATAAAATTGCACCGATAATAAAGAATACCAGTATGTGTCTTCAGATTCAACATACAACACCTCACGTGTTAAGGTTCATCTGCACCCAGAAAATTTTCTAGTTTACATGTACTTCTTCATTTCTACATTTGATTCCTCAACATTTCTGCTATCAGCATCAGCACCGCAGCTCTGCAGGTCTTTGAAAACTCATCAATATCAGAATAAGCATTATTTCATCTTGAATAAATTCTGTACCACTGATTTTGCTCTAATAAATTATCCTAATCGTATCAAGTGGGACAATCTCTGTGGCCCCACATTTAATTTGCAATATCTCATTGCATTACCTTTGCAGGTCCATCCATCTTCAGAGTATCCAGGTTTGCATTCACAGTTGTGCGATCCCTTTGTATTGTTCCAAACAGGAACGGGACTACAGTTAGGCTCTTCTGTAGCACTTTCGTTAATATCTAAAACAACATAATTATTTGATGTTATAATATCGGTGATATTTGTTTTCAGAACATTAAATCGCTAATATATAACACAACAATCTATGTGCTAACATTTAGCGTTCTTGTAGACATTGTACTGATAATTTGCAATAAAACAATCCCTCTAGCCCCATATTTAATAAGCGATATATATTGCATTACCTTTGCATGCCCATCCGTCCCATGAAAATCCTGGTTTACATTTACAGTGGCACGATCCTTTGGTATTGCTGCTCTTCTGTAGCACATCCGTCGATATCTGAAGTTACATCATGCTGATTTTAATTACCATTGAAAAAATTTAGATATTGCAATACTTTTGTAAAGTAAAAGGAGAAGTTTTGCGCATATCCTCTCGTGTCATTTTTTATTTTGTTATAGGCTGAGAGCAGATTAATCGAATAAATCATTTAGTACGAAACCATTTTTTTTAAGCCCGTCCGTCCATTACCAGAATATCCAGGTTTACTTGTATAGTTATACGATACTTTGGCATTGTTACAAACAGCATCGGCACTGCAGTTGTACTTTTCTGTAACATATTGGTCGGTAAAATATTGGTCAGTAAAAAAGAAAGAAGATCTGAAAAAAAAAAATGTCGCAAGGCATGCTATTCAGAGAATAATATCGTGTAGCAGTATCCAGCTTTCTTTGCCAATGGCCTAGACCAGGATTGAAACGTAAAAGCATACTTGTCAAATAGTGATGATTGCACATCTTGAGCGCAATGCAAAAAGGTCCAATAATAACAAAAACCAATTCACTCACATCCTTGGTTTTGTCTTGTTGAAGATTCTACGATCTAGTCTATCTTAACTTATGCAATAATTGACCTTTGACGTCATCAATTCGAATCACGTGATTTATCAGGCGTTGACCATCAGATGCTTTAGCAGTCTCAAATTCCAAAAAGCAACAACTATCCGTGTGAAAATGAGATTTACTTATCATTTTGGGACCCTTTTTTTTCAAATGACTAATCTTAATCTATAAATATTGGGGAAGATAAGGTTGATATTAGCTGAATCCCAAAAATGGAGACAAAGACATACAATATTAATAATTTGAGTGGTAGATTTGAAACAAGTGGTGGTTTGACCTTCGGTAGATATCGCGGTTAAACTTTTGAATCAGATTATAAGCAATCGGCGCTCCCCCCGTAAACCGTACCCAGGCTTGCAGAATTTTTGGTACGACGATCTACCAGTTGTTAACGGACAACGTATTGACAGGTAGGTTGTCATTAAAGTCATATGCGTTAAATGTTCTGCATACTTTCATCGCCTTTTCAATTACAATACTTAAACAGATAATAACACTTAAAAAAAGGTAGGTTGGCTTTAACTAAGGTTAATGCTACCAACCTCCTTAAAAGACCGCGGCATTGAGCACCACTGACGTAAAAGAACAGCGAAATAATATGAAAGCATAGGGTATGCAGGATAAAAAAAATCATTCGCAGATGTTAACTGAAGTTGTGGAGATGGAGAACCTACGCAGTAAATGTAATACCCTGAAATGGAAATTGCATCAAAATTGACTTTTAAGTTGCTTTATAAATTCACAATAGTTCCAGATATCTTCCTCTTGAGGCATCAATTCTTAACAAGAAGTTAATGACAGTTTATATTAACCTTGTCTTAGAATCATTTAGAACAAATCATTTTTAATATCCCATGTCTGTTATGGACATTTTTAAGCCTCATGCAATTGAAGTTTTAAAATTCGAAATTAATTGAAATGGATAAAATATTGTGCAATTTTGTTTTCTAATAATTGCTTAAGTTATACTAACTGGTAGAGTTTTTTCTTCCAGCGGACTGGCGTGAACGTGCTGGTTAACTTGTTAAGGAATTCTTTTATAGAACAAGAATCTGAACTTTAAAGAAATAAAGCATTACATTTACATTACATACGAAAGCACTATCAAAGACACAAAAGGTGAAAAGAGAGAAACTATCCTTCGTTTCCCTGCAATTTGTAACCACATAAAGGGATTTGCTAAATCGATGATAATCTTGGTAATTTATAGGTAAACACTAGATGATTAATGATTTGTGACTATAAGTTCCAAAATGGTAAGTGTACTTAGAGACTGTTAAAGGTCTTATGGTGATCTAAGGTTTCCTCTCGTCAAGGCAATAAAAAGAATTAGGTAAATAGGTATCATTTATAATTTAAGTCATTTACCATTATATAAAACATGTCAAAAGCATTAAACTCTTATGCGGGCAGTGTGCGCGTCTGATTGCGTTGCATCATGGTCTTAAAAGAAAAAAGTAAGTGATTTCCATTAGGTCGTGATGGAGCGAA